GCGCCAATCACCGTGGAATCTCCTTTTCCCTTAATGATTTCCAATTCAAAAGGATATCTTATCCTTGGCAGCGTTCTGTAAATATTCATAAAGGATTTGAATCATGCCGATTATACTCTTATAATGAAAATAAATATATCGGGAGAAAGATATAACTTCGTCCATTCCTGATATATCGTGTATATTACGAGAAAACCCTGAACATTCTTTTGGCAATTGTGTCTATTCTTAGTTTGTCGATTAATTTTCCTCCCAGCATTTACCTTTCTGTCGCTAGCCCCTCATTTAATACTTTTACTAACACCTAACTTAATGATGTTCTTATCCCTTTAAACATTAATCTTCGAGGTCCATCATTTATCCAGGTCCTAACTCACCTAATAATTCTCAAAGTAAAAGAACAAAGAAAAAAAAGGCTGATATTTTTACCTCATCCCCATTGCAAAAGCAGCTTCTATTAGAACAACAAGAATGAAAAATTGAAAAATAAAACATTGTTAGAAAAATTGTTAAAAATATGTTGTGTATTATACATAAACGGTATTAAAATTAACCTAATTTTGAAGATTGGTTTTCAATGCTGAGTAAGTAAAGATTGGGCCCCATAGATTCTGTACCGAAAATCTATTTCTATTTTGTTTGCTATTAATTTGTAAATAAAATATTATAGAATAGAGAGCATTAAAGTTGAAAAGTGCAAATCTGAAGAAAATATTTTTTGCGTCTTACAGGAACCCTAATAAAATATTTGATTTGAATAGCTCTATCGAGGATCCGGCTAACCATGGGGTCCGTGCTACAAGGTTCAAAAAACACTTTAAAACTTTTTTGGAGAATTTCATTTTGAATAATTATCTGCTAACAATTTAGGATTATTTTACATATAAAAATTCGTGGTTTCCATACAAACACAACCGTTAACCAAAATAAATTAGCAAAATTTGTTATTTCTTATATATATATTTTTTATATTTAATTTAAATTAATTTACATATTATTCTTGCTTTATAAATGCAAGATATGTTTAATCATACTTTAATTTATTGCATTATTTTTGAAAGATTATTATTAATTATTTTTTTAAAAAAAAAAATTTCAATGATATTCTTTGAATGGATTGTATTTGAAAAATATAACGGTAATTTTTCCCCAAGAACAAGATAAAAGACACATCTGATAAGCGATAGAAATCTGCATGAGCTCTGAAAAAATTTATATATGGGGTGGTTAGCGTAACAAATTCAGAGAGGCGGAATGGGGAATCGTGCCAAAAAAAGGATCTTTAAGCTAGACCAGATGGACAATTTATTCATCATTTTTCCGGCAGGGCATCGCCAACTGGAATGTAAGATTTATGTAAAATTTTAATAAAACCCAACCCTGGAATCAAAATCTTGATAAATTTTTTTATGAATTTTAAGCCACTTTCTTTCTTTCTTTCTTTCTTTCTTTCTTTCTTTCTTTCTTTCTTTCTTTCTTTCTTTCTTTCTTTCTTTCTTTCTTTCTTTCTTTCTTTCTTTCTTTCTTTCTTTCTTTCTTTCTTTCTTTCTTTCTTTCTTAAAACTTTAAAGGGCCCAAGCCGCGCAAATTTTTTTTAAAAAAATTATAACGGGCGGTCCTGTCAGATATTTTAACGGGTGGCGGAATGCTTGTGCAAAAATTCTTAACGGGCCAAAACGGCACGGCCGGGCTTTGTAAACCTCTAATAAATAGGGTTTTTAAAAAGTTCGATTTTGGGTCGATTCTTAGTAAAGAAACCGATTAAGATTTTAACCAAAATAATATCATGTATACGCCTCGAGATCTAATAAATTTTGGTAATTTTAAAGACCCGTTAATTAAAAATAATATATTTCCACTACTCTTAACCTATTATAAGTGCGATCTCCTCATCCTTTCTTCAGAGAGTGCCTTACGGTAGAAACAACTTGAAAGTCCTAACATGTATTAAAGGAGGGTACATCCACGCATCATCTAACGGATATCAATATTTTCAAGATATATATATGATATTCTAAATTTTTAGCATTTTCGTTTATAAGCAAGCATTTAGAACATAAACTTTGTTCAAAGGATATTTAACTTACTCTTAGTATGAGCTTTCAGGTTTCAAAAGTAAAATTTTATTAAAATAAAAAAAAAAAAACATTTGACATTTTTTCGGAAACCGGCTGAAGATCGGAGGAAAGAGAGTATAGGGGTGAAGCTCCCAAAATTTTTTAAACCCCCCCCCCCCCCTATAAATAAATCCTGGCTATGCCACTGGTATTCACTCAAAGATCATGATCCAAAAAAACGCCACTCTGTTATTTATTGGAAGTTAATATTCTACTTATTCCTACCTAATTTTCACAATCTACGAATATTATATAATATAGAATTTTTATAAATAAGAATTAATACGACTATTTAAAAAAAAAAAAATTAAACCATATTCAACATAGAAAAGCTCTCAATAAAGGACTGAATATTAACTCCAGGGTTATATTGGAAAAGAAGGAGATAATAAGATCAGAACACTGATTAAAATTTCCGTACCCCTACAACCATCTTCCCCATGTTAACAACACAAATTAAGAAAAGTACTTTTAAAAAAATTTATTTGTACTTTGGAAATTAGATAAATTATAAGTCATTTGCCTAAGGCTATGAATCGTAAAATCATTTGATCGTAAATTTCGGCTAATTTTCTGATTGGCTTGTTTAATAGCTCTGTTCCATATTTGACATAAATATGGACACCAAAATATTATCCAAATCATACGATCAAGGGAAGTCTCATTCCTAATAAACATATATCAATATCCTATGTTAACATTTAAATTTTTTTCGCAAAATGCTTGTAATTATAATAATTTTTTTTCTTCCCGGTCATAGGTTACTTCATTTGAATAGTAACTGATGTAATATGTAATCAAACTGTAATCGTATATAATGAAAAATATATAAAATAGAGTTTATAAGGATAAGAATAAGGGATTAAAAAAAGAGGAAGCTAGGAATGGGAAGGGAATGGAGAAGACATAGACATGGAAGAATATTCGATGGAAGAGATGGAACTTAGATAGTTAGAGCAAATAATGGCGGTAGCAAGTCTCTGTCGCAAGAAAAGGAATTCCTTAGGCTGATCCGTTTTTTTAACTAATCCTTTTGCCTAATTCTTTAAAAAAATCTTTAAACTTTGCTACCGAAGGTGGTGAGAATGGAGCAGGCGATGGGTATGAATATAAGAAAATTCTATATTTTACGTATCTGACACGAGTAGAACTAGAACAACTTGAACTTACATCTTTTAAAAGGGTTAAAATAAAAATTTATTCAGGCATAAACAAATTTAAATTTCGTAAATTATAAGATAATTACAAAAAAAAAACGCCTCCTTATAGTTAGTAATAACTAATTAAAAAAGTTTAAAAAGCATGGTAGATATAATGTATACTGATTTTAAGAAAAATATTTTCTGAAATTTATACTAATTTTTTATAATTATTATTATTAAAATAGCCTAATGATAAAATGAAGCTTACAAAAGAAATAAAGTATATATAAACAGGTTAACAAATATAAGTTGAAAGGTCAATTTTCAAAAAAAAAACACATACTAAACCCATCTTGTTTTATATACTACGTAAAACTTATATAATAGACGATATATAGTTTAGAATAATATAAATATTAAAGCAAATGTTATTTTTTTAAACATCAAATTTAACAACGATAAAATTTTAAATATTAAAAAGTTTATTTTATATAATTTACTAATCATTTATTCCCTATTTTAACAAAATTATTCCTGGATTTTTCGAGTGGTATTTATTTCACTTACTTATTTTGTTATTATAAACGCATTTTATTTTGCCTTTGCCATATTGATGTTGTCTTTCAATAGTTGAGCATAAAAATACAAAATAGAATTTTCCGATCCCTTTCCTAAGAGATTTTTGCAAAAATATCCATAAAAAATGAGGAATACATTATAATTTAAATGCACATTTTTTTAAATATATGTTTATTTCTTATGATAAGTAGATGGAAAAAAATGGTAATAAACTAAACTATTTATACTGATATCCTTGGAAAACATTTTCTGATAAAATAAGACTTTTTTTAACATTCAAAAATTTTTCTATAGATGTGATAATTACTATATATTATATTAGGTACAAAAGTATATATACTTTAAAACAAATATAAATAATTCTTATCTTAATTTACCAATTAAAAATGATATTAAAAAAAATTCTAAATATTTTAAATATTATATTAAACAAAACGTTTAAAAAAATATATATTATATTTCGTAATTCTTAATTACTATTTCCCGAACTATATTCAAAGGTATCCAAAAGGACATAATTTGATTTTGAACAAAGTTTTGAGGGCCCTTATCATTAGGTATCTCAAAGATGAGCCATACTTACTCAGATCTTTCTTAGAAAACATTTTTTGATAAATTCAGATTTTTTTACACCCTAAATCTTTCTAGAAATATGATTTAAAATCTAGAAATTCCTGATAAATATAGCATTTATTTTAGAAAGACTTACACAAATTATTTCTAAAAACAAATTATAAATCAAGTGTTTAAGCGTTGTCAAAAACCACAATTTAGGAGCTTTTTTAAAAAAGTTTAAATTTGGATTTTAGCCAAATAAATGTTATTTAGGTCTCAAGATATGTTTATTAGAGGTTCAAACATTTTGTTCATCTATATGTAGAATCTAGAGTTTTGGGTAACATCTTTTTGGCTAAAATATTAATTATAGCTTATACTTTAAGAAAGCGCTTAAAATCCAGGTTATTGACATTTGTTCATTTATTTCTAGATTTTTATAGAGGGGGAAGTGGGATAAAAATTGATTTATAAAAATATTTATTGATAATCAATATATAATTTAATTTATTAGTATATTATATTTTGTTATTATCCAGTGATTTAGCTTTCTATCATTATTTTTAATTTTTTTTTACAAAATAAATAGAATAGATAATTTTATCCGATGCAAAATTTGTTGTTGATAATTGCTTCATTTCTGTTATGTAGTATTTCTAAGGTGCAGAATGACTCTGGCATAGAGGATAAAGAAATTTCCGAGAAACAATCAGGTTTTCAATTTAAACGAAATATATAATATAAAATATTTTATTATTTAATTTGAATCCACTCATTTTAAAGATATCGATTTGGATGCAGCTATAAAGAGGTTTTCCAAAGCCATCACTTTCGAAACGGTGTCGATAAAACCGGGAGAAGCGAATGTGCCTGAATTGCTCAAATTTAGAAAATATTTGGAATCAGGTAGCAGAAATCAAAATTCTTAAATATATCTAGTAAACTTTAAATATGTTTATTAAAAACCTTTGTCCTGGATAATGTTGTTAAGGCCGCATTCATAGCGGACCCGATCCGACACGATTTAACAGCTGATCGGTTTTTAAAATCTGTCTATGAGATCAATTTTTTTGTAATAATATTAATTTTGTCTTTAATTCTGTACACGATAACAACCTAAGAAATATTGGTTTTTAGTAAAGAAAAATTGATTCTCATAAACCGATTTTTAAAAATCGATCAGCTGTTAAATCGTGTTAAGGATCGAATCCACTACGAATGCGGCCTAGAAGGCTCCTTTAGAGCCAATTTTTATAAACGGCTAACTCAATATTTTAGCCAAGGAAATATTGCCTAAATTTCCAGATTTGGCTAATAGATGTCTAGACCTTCGTGCCATCCATGAGTGAAATCTTCAGGCTTGAGTAATAATTTTCTAGATAAAATATTGAGTTGGTCGTTTTTAAAAGTTCGGCTCAAATTGCGCCGTTTAACACCACTAGTCATGGAGATCGTTTAAAATTTTGTAATATGCGAAATCTTTGTGTTTTTCCAATATAGCGTATCCATTGATGCACTCGACACCTTGGATAGAGAGACAGATAGTGGGTAACCTGAGCTTAGTATACACCATAATGCCATTAATAGAGGATGATGATAAATTTACCAACAAACCATGGATATTACAAGCCCACCTGGATGTCGTTCTTCCCACTGACCCTCATAAATGGGATGCCAATCCGTTTGGTGGACAAATTATATACAAGCCCAAAAATCTTCACAAGGTATTTAAAAAAATAAATAATATCCTTTTATTATAATGACATAATGTCTCTTTTCAAAACACTTGAGAACTTGAAACTAAATTTTATAATTTGTATTATAAATGGACCTATATGTGAGATACGACTATAAATAAAACATAGTAGATAGAAATATAAATATGGAATAAGTTTGATTTTTTAAATACAGATACTTTATGACCCTAAGACTAACAAGAGTTCCAAGAAATTTTCGGTAGATGATATAGATAATAAGGATTATTATTTATACGGGAGGGGAACCATTGATTCGAAACACATCATAATGTCAATTATGGAGGCTATCGAACATATGATACGCCAAGGGCTGAGACCTAACACCAAAAAGCTAATCTTGAGCTTTGGACATGACGAGGAAGTTGGAGGAATGAATGGAGCTAGAAAAATAGTCTCACTACTAGGGAACACATATTCATTCCCACCAAAAGGAGGAAAACCTATAGGTAAGATATTATGTGTTGCTTAATTGATAGAAACAGACGGCATAGTATACGTTAAAAACAGTTAGTTATTTTAAAATAAATATTAGATAAATTGCGATAAATATCAGTTAAATCCTTAATTACAAATAATTTATATTTTATTCTTGTCTTGTCTTATCCTTCACTGAAGGAACACGAGGGTTAAGTGGCATCCACCACCTAATAGAGGGCATATCCAGTAAACTAAATTTGCATCCATTGTTTGTCTGTCAGTAAATACTCTACTATCTGGGCCTATTTAATTAAAGAGGGATGATGGTACCTTTTGTGGATAAGCCAGGATCCACTGATTGACAGTAATTTACCCTACTGTCAGGGCCTGTTTAATTTAAGAGGACTGACGGTACTTCTTTTAGAGAGTGAGGGTGTATTATTATATAATATATATTAATTTTTTATATTATAAAAATTATGTATTTATTAAATCTATATGTTTTTAAAAGATATTTAAGTTAAAAGGGCTTGGTTTAGCCCAATGACATATATAATACCTAGACTGACGATTCATTCATTAAAAGTGCACATCAATTCAAATCAGCTGGAGACAGCCATCTTGGTTACACTAATCATTATTTAAATTTTAAACGAGAGCCTAATTTATTCCTATACCTGACGCAAATTTTATTAAAAGAATCACCTGGTATAAGGAATACAAGTTATCAATATAGATAGTAGTTATTAATAACCACGAGAATAATTACTATATGTGTTTACCAAAATGGTGGGTCCAGCTAATTTGCTTTTAGCGACGCTTAAAAATGCAATTTTGAATGAATGAATCGTCAGTCTGGGTAGTCATTGGTTTAGCCATTCTTTTAATTGTAGTTTGTCTAGAGAAATATTAATGAGGAAGTGACTATTTACATTATTTTTAATTAAGATTTTTGAGGCTTGAACCATACCAGGATTTGGTATTGGTAGAGTATTCTTTTTTTTATTATCTCTGGTTTTGTATTTTAAAGCTTTTGTAAAGGGGGCTTACATGGTAGTTAGGTCTTAAAATATGAGAGTAATAATTCTATTATTCTAAAAATTACGGCAGAATTTCCCAGAGGTTTATGTTAGAGATTATGATAGGATATTTAATGTTTAGAAATATTTTTAAGACATTTTCCCTCAAAAATAAGTTACTCCTAAATATAACTCCACAATCCCATACTCGACTCTTATCAAATTCCGTTTTAACATTGAACTCACTTCCTAAATAAGACGAAGATAAATGATCTTAATCATTCGAACCTAAATCAATCAAAAGCATTTATATGCTTAGTTAATAAAATAATATTTTTATTTTTCAATATACCTATTTTGTTTAATGAATTTAAGACTTTTTACTTGACGAAGGACTTACCGTTGTAAAAGATGTACTTCCTCGGAATACAAAATTAGCTCCGTGAGTACAACTTATTTGTTAAAAGACGATTTCAAAATTTTAATCTTAACATATATATATATATATGTATTTTCCGTAATTGTCATATTAGCGTGTGCGTGTCAGAAAAGTATGTAATGAATGTCAATATAAGCGTGGAATCAATAGGAGGCCACTCCAGCCTTTCCGGGAAAGAAAACGCCATATCGATATTATCGGGTGCTGTGACTAAAATTCAAACGAAAGAATTCCCGTCTTTTCTTGGTCAACTTGGAACACCAGACTTTGAAATTTTGAGACGCATAGCTCATTTATACCCTCAACCCTATAGAATATACATGGAAAATATGGCTTTATTTAGGAATGTATTATCAAAGTTGGTTATTTTCTTTTTACAATTAAAGTTTAAAAAAATTATTAAAATTAGACAGTATGCTCATCTTAGACATGTGTCTGACATGAAATATAATTTTAGGGATATATAAATAATAATGGTTGTTAAAATATTATATAAAGATCTAAAATTACTAAAATTATTTTATTTGTATAAAAGAAAAGTAAAATCATTAAAAATATTTTTTGTAAACATGTTAAATTAATATTTCAGTGAAAATGGTAAAAAAAAAAGGCACTTTTTTATCTTTCTAACTATAAAATGAAGTATAACATTGGACAATGACTTAGTAAATGCAATTACTAGGACTTCCGCTGCTGTCATGAGTTTCAATGGCGGAATAAAAAGTAACGTGATACCCATTTACGCAGAAGCCAATATTAATCACAGAATTCACCCTCTGCAAGATCCAAAAGAGGTAATTAATCCCTAATTTATATGATATTATCCTTAAACTAAGGGAATAATGAAATTCAACGTCTTAATTCTCGATGTTATTCGAAACGAAATTTATTTGAATTTATAAGCTAGTGCGAGTCTAAAATTAATTATTTATGATATAAAATTATGATTTCTAAATTTGGTTTTAAATTGAAGATTTTAGAATTTGATGATCAAACCATAGGAGATTCAAGGGTTAAAATAGTTTCAGATGAAATTCCTATACGTAGTCCTATTTCCGATTACGACACCAAAGCTTTCAAAATAATCGAAGCGACTATCTTGGGAATATTCAATGAAACTATAGTTGTACCAGGTTATCATGATAATATTATTTTTGTAAAATTCAACTCAATATGCTACTGATCCAATAACTTTAATACTAACGTAGACGCAATCTGATAAATTAATATTTAATATATATTATTCTTCTTCTTATTATTATTTTATAATTAGCCATTTTAATGGCCAGCACAGACTCCAAACATTTTTCCGGAATCGTAGATAACATATACAGATTCTCTCCTCTAACAATGACTGTAGATGATTTGCCGAGAGTACACGGTGTCAACGAGAGAATTTCCGTGGCCGATTTTCATAACTGCATAAAATTTTATTATGACTTGATCGAACAGGTATCGGGATTCGTAAAAGTTCCAAAAGATTCAAAAAGAAGAGAGAAAATAAAATAAATGAAAGAAAGAAAGAATTAACAAAATAAACATAATTTTAATTTTATTTTAAAATAAAAGAAATTGAAGAATAAAAAAAAAATGAAAAATGGGGGATAATTTATATCTTTATGTGTGTGATTAATTTTTTTTTTATTTAAATATAAATATTTATTATTTATTTTATTGGTCTAATTTGTAAAAATATAAGAAATAAAATGAGGATATATTTTAATAGAAGGAGTATCAACCAAATTCTCAAATATTATATGATAGCGAAAGGGTGAAAAGCCAAAATAATATATATACGTATTAGTACCTTTTTTTTTTCTTTCTGTTTCCAATAATCTTTGAAGATCAAATATTTTACTAATCACAAAATTTTTTAAGTTAAATCAGGAGGCTTCTCTTTGAGCATTCTGAGAAAAATATTTTTCTTAAAATAAAAATCTTTTTTTGAAAATGTTTCAATATCCGGAAAGAAGTATAATTAGTATGGTTAAATTATCTAACATTTGTAGGGATTTGTCTGGTAGGCGAGCTTACTAATTGAAAATATATGAGCTTGGTAAGCGGGGGTATTGATTGAGAATCTATATTTTATTATGTGGTAAACTATTCAGGCTGATGGGAGTCGATGCCATGAATAGCTATGAAGCGGATCCGCAAGCTCGATTGGGACCTTCCGCGTCAATTTTAAAGGTCCAACCCGCTTAGTCCCCATTCACTAAGAAAATCGCCCTCAGGGGATTTTGCCCAAAAATTTGATAACTAAGCCATTAATGACCATGGGGGGGGGGGGGGTTCTTCAGAAATCTTTTTATTCGACTTGCATCTTAAATTATACTCCCATCATTACTCAATTAGTCAAAGCGGTGAACAAAGAGACACGGCCTTTTGCTCTCCCCTATTTCTAATTCCTATACAAGATGGCTCACCCAGAGTCATATCTGACTTTTCTAACGTATCAAGGAACTTTATCAAATATCCTTTCCGTTTAAAGACCATACCTATGATTGCCCCGTTGCTAGCAGGAGCCAACAAGGCCACAAAGATCGACCTGAAGTCAGCGTTCTATTCTATACCTCTAGCACAAAACAGGAGGAGGTTTTCTATATGGCGGCCGCGAAATATTGTTATAAAATCCTCCCTATGGAGGCGGGGTTTTCGCGGTTCTCCCTGCAGAATATTGCTCTGGATCTATGTGCAGAGTCTATTAAAACTGCCAATTATTATACAGTATACCTTGACGACATCATTATATTCCATTCCAGTGATCACGTCGTTTTCCAAGACACGATATCTTTCCTGAATATGGAGTCCGCGGTTGACGGTCAACAAAACTAAGTCTGTCACAGTTCACACGGGAGGGATCACCTATTTAGGGACTGATACCTATTTTAAATCTAAGACCTAGACAAAGAAAACAAAGCAAGGTTACGATTCTGCCAACTAATACTATATAAACATACCTCGAAGTCAATGTCCACCTAAAGAAATAAATCCCTCGAGGTATTAGGAGTCCACTACATCTACTCGATTATCGGACTTTGGAGAATATTCTTATCATACTATGCAACGATGCCTAACGCGAACGAAGCTCCTCCCATCGATTACGTTAAGGCATATCCAAAGGCAGTGGTAGCGATAGTAGCCTTGATGAAACATTTTCCGTTCGTTTTCCAGGTTAACGCAGTTATCCACGTTGACGCTTCTTCAACCCATATAGGCATTGCAGAGGCCCTAGTTGGAAAATATTCTTTTACATTCGACGAGGCCTTGTCAATACCCCACATCAATCATCAGGAACTATTAGCCACCTGGGTGGGGTGTAAATACAGTATGATCAAATACAAAGCCATACCGTCCTTGGCAAAGGATAGTCAAGTCACTTACACTATCGTCAAGAAAAGTGATTTCAGGTCTCCGGCATGAGAACATCTTATCGCCAAGATAATGTTCTCCATCGGCTTTCAGGATTTTGCACACTTGGCCAGAAATCCTACCTGGATACCATCCAAGGAGGACAATTTGGCTGACTAACCTAGTAGACAATGGATTGCTGACGAGCAAGCCCAAAATACTCTATATGACCTCGACACCGAAGTATTACCACCAATAGAGGCTGCACTCCCTTGGATAAAAGCGTCGACGCTAGTCCAGGTAACCGACGAGGTAGATGCCCTATGCGAGGATGCGCTAGCAAACCTTGGAAGGGACTTCAACTTAGACATCTTCGATGAGATGCTCAACCTTTCGATAGATGATTCGATAGAAGACATCGACCGTGGAAGGTCTATCGATGAACAAAGAACGGGCCCCGAAGAGCGCTCTCCCACCCCCACAATAATACATTAACCTTTGTCATTCTAGAAATAAATATTTGTTCAAATATTATCATTGTACACGTATATACAATATTAATGAATTTAATATGTAGAATCAGTAATTATAAATATAGAGCTCAGAAATTGCATATGGTGGACGGGTGATCAGAAATAAAGTCATTAGCTTATAAATAGGCATACGCAATGTTAATTATTTATTTTTCAAATTAATTTTCTTAAAATGAGCATGTTTTCACCCTATCTTACCCCAAAATTTCCGAGGCTAATAAATATCTTTTTATTTACCAAAAATTATAACATAGTTTATAAGATATTTTATCACCTCTGCAAAAGTCTGTATATACCCCATCAGCTGCTATTATACATAATCGGTTTTAGTTATTGTAACATTTGTAGATACATAAATTAACAATAAAGATTAAAAGATAGGCCCTTAATCACGGGGCCCTCCAGTGCCTTTTGGCGCTGGGAACAGGGGTAGTAAACTTCTAGATCTAATAATTTTTGGTAATTTTATAGACCCGTTAACTAAAAAAAATATAATTCCACTACTCTTGTCCTATTATAAGTGCGATCTCCTCACCCTTGCTTCGGAGATCCTAGAGAGCCCTACGGTAGAAATTATCAACTTGAAAGTCCTAACAAGTAATACAGTGAAGATGCATCCACACATCACCTTACGTATCAATAATGATCGAAAGATTTTTAGAAAATATATATTAAATCTTCCCAATTTTTAGCCATTTTTGTTTATAACCGTTTAGAACACGAACTTCACATTGATATCCAACTTGCTCTTAATATGAGCTTTTCAAGTTACAAAATTAAAACTTTATTAAAATAAATTTTTAAAAATAAAGACATTTAACAACGTTATATTGTAATTAATTATATATAGGGTATAAAGGCTGGGTATCCATTGAAATATTTTTTAAAATATTAATACTATCATATTCTAAGATTATGATTTTAACCAGCTTAGCTCCGTTCTCCCCTAATTCCTAACTGCTTTGCCCTCTAATTTACATCGGTCCTATTTATTTTTTTTTTGAAAAGATTCCGCTTAGGATTGAAGAATGCGAAAAGTCTGTGTACCTTATTTATCCCCGAGCGATTGCGTAGCAAAGATCGAATCATCTGATTTTGGAAATCTAAAAGATGATATTTTCTGCGCCAGTTCTGTCTCCAGCAAATAACCGATCTAAGATGATAAGATTAATACGTTTTAAAGCTATTTCATTCTTCCATTTCTTTTTTTTTCGATGCATTTGTTTTTACTGTTGATTTACGGCCTCGCCGAAACTCGTACAATCAACCTTTTACCTCTTCAAAATCAAATTGGTTTATTTTAACCAAATTTTCTAACCTGTCATGAAATCTCAGTGTTCATTTAAAGGAATTGTTGTCTTAAATCGGTCCCAATTAACTAGATACTCCAAATGAGTCGGGGCCATTTGGACTTCCCAGAAGAAAAAAGAAGATATAACTAATTTCAATAAAAGCTTCTTTTTTTTAAAAAAAAATTAGTGATTTTCACCCAAGTATATTTATATAATATACTTGCATCGATATGATTTTTCCGGCAACGTATTCCATCATGTTTGGAATTGGACAATTTCGCCATGAAATTTTGAAACTTAAATATAATTTAAATTAGTTTTTTTTTCATAGATTATTTTCTACGGCAAAATTATCTAAAATTTATAAAAATAGGAATTCTAAACATGCTGGATAAACATTTCCTGCAAAATCTGAATCTTATGTATATATATAAAAAAATGGAACCTCAAAAAATAATTTATAGTATAAAAATTCAACACGTTGACGCTAACCGGGACTAACAAAAAAAAATACCATATATTAAAAAAAATAAATTATATAGGCACAACATTTCGAAAATGTTGCTTAAACCTCTATAGGCTATAATTTAAAAGGAGTGGGACAAAGAAAAAGCCTATACCCGAGAACTACAGTATAATTTAATTACTTTAAAGGTGGGTGATGGCTGATTTTACGCTTAATTTCTTTAGTGTAAGTTATAATTACTTCAATATTGAGATATAATGTTCATAGAATCTGTAAATAAATATGATTAAAATAAAATAATAAAAAAATGATTATTATTAATTAAAAAATAATAATAAAACCAATTTAAAATAATATTACTCACAAATATTTAACATCCCCCTTTTTCCCTTTCAACCTCCTTTTTGCCACAAAAAAAAAAGGAATGATATAATATGTTCATTACGAACGATTATACCTCTTCTTATAATTCTAAGAACCAGGGACCTGAAATTCCCGGAAAAATCCTTAAACAAATTTAAGAATGTACCCGAAATCATTAACCCACTTTTTTTTTTAAATGTTAGGAAACGGAAACTAGAACTGGAACTAAAAATATTCAGAACTTTTAGGTTTTACAAAAATCTTATTTTGAGTCAAATTCACTCCGTTAATACCAATGACATATAATAATACCTAGACTGACGATTCATTCATTAAAATGCATTTTTAAGCGTCGTTAAAAGCAAATCAGCCGGACCCGCCATTTTGGTAACCTTTATAATAATTATTTTCATGTTAAAAACTAATATTAAATTGATAACTTACTTTCTTATTATCTCGATGATCGGGCAATTCTTTAATAAAGTTTGCATCAGATATAATATAAAATTAGGCTCTCGTTTAAAATTTTAATATTTATTACAGTAACCAAGATGGCGTCTCTAGCTGATTTGTATTGATGTACACTTTTAATGAATGAATCGTCAGTCTAGGTATTATTATATGTCATTGGTTAATACAACCCCCCTCCCTCTTTCTTCTAATCTACCTCTTTTGGCCGAAAATTTTGATAAACTTTTCAAAAAAAAGATTTTATTTTGACGAAAGAGTTTTTCTTAGAATCCTCAAAAGTTTTTTTTTTTTTATTTCGATCAAATTTTACCTAATTTCGAAATTTATATATTTTTTTCTAGATCAAAATCTTTTATAAATAAATTATTTGTGATTTTTATTCAATAAAAATCATAATTTATATTCAATAAATATCATGATTTATATATATAAAGCATAATATTTGATCTTCAAAGATTTTGGGCAACAGAAAAGAAAACTAATACATAAATTAATATTTTTGGCTTTCACCCTTTCAGGTTCGGAACATGCACCGAGCTCAAAAAATGTAGAATTCTCGCTATCATATTAATTTCAAGAAATTGGTTGATACTAACTTTTCTATTAAATATAACCCTTTTATTTCTTATATTTTTTTACAAATTAGAACAATAAAATAAATTGTAAATAATTTTATTTAAATTAAATAATTAATCATTTATAACGATATAAAATTAAATTTTTCCCAATTTTTTTTTAAAAATAAATTAAAATTATGTTTATTTTGTTTAATTCTTTCTTTCTTTTATTTTTTTTCATTCTCTCATCTTTTTTTTAAAGCTTTGGAAACCTTGTACCACACATCGCCCATCACTGTCAATTCCTTACCGACATTTTTTATTCTCCATCACCTTCTTTCTACTGTTTGCAACCCATTACACATTTCTATACTCGGCTCAACTCCTTATATCTCTAATTCTCTCCGAATTTCCTCTCATGTGACCGGACCTCCTTTTAACATCCTTGATATAGCCATGATTCTTGATCATCCCCCCACTCAAATCTTACCCCCGTTTTCAACAACTTGTACAACGGTGCTGCCACTTCAGCAAAATTCTCAACAAACCCATGGTAAAAATTTACCATCCCTACAAAAGACTGTACCGACTCATCGCGACTTCAGCATATTTTCAATTGCAACCATATTCTTATCTAGTGACCGCACTTCCTCTCCGTTAGTCCCATGTCCTAAATACACAACCTCCATTACTCCCAGTTTCTCGCGCCAATCCTTTTTCCCAGATTCTCTGAAATACCACATCCAATCTTCTATTATGCTGTTCCGGCATGACTCCCGTTACCAACACATCATCCATATAGTAAAATACTTTTTCTAATACCTGAAACACATCCGCCATCGTCCCCTGAAATATAGGTGCAGAAACTTTTAACCCAAATGGCAACCTCATAAAAGAGAACCACCCCTTTGGTATAGTTATGGTGGACAACCTCTGCATCTCCTTTCTTACCCGCAATTGTAAATATGCATTAGAAAAATCCACTTTCGAAAAATATATGCCCCTCGAAATATTGTGCTGTGTGTCAAGTGCCTTTTGATTGGAGGCAGGAGTTAGATCGCTGGGTGAAGGAGGGCGACTGGGCGACGCCTTTGGTAATAGTGAAAAAACCAATGAGAGGCTGCGTTTGTGTGAGGATTTCCGGTAACGTTGAATCCATAGGTGGTTGAAATGCGTTACATAGGATTAAGAAAATATTGGCTAATTTGAAGGGAGGCAGATATTTTTCGAAAGTGGATTTTTCGAATGCATATTTGCAATTGCGGATAAGAGAAATTGTTGACGATAACCCCTCCAAAAGGATTTTTTGCCTTTAGGAGGTTGCCGTTTGGGTTGAGCGTTTCTGCGCCAATATTACGATGGCTGTAGTTTTTCAGGGTTTGGAAGGAGTATTTTATTATGCGGATGATGTGTTGATAACGGGGCCCGCCGGAGCAGCACAATCGAAGGCTGGAAGAGGTATTTCAGAGAATCCGAGAGAAGGGATTGCGAGCGAGTAGAGAGAAAAGTATACTGGGAGTAATGGAAGTTGTGTATTTAGGGGCATCGAATAAATGGAGTGGGGGTGTGGCCGTTGGACAAAAATATGGTGAAGCCGCGATGTAAGGCGGAGGTACCGTCCTTTGTAGGGATGGTAAGTTATTATCATCGGTTTGTTGAGAATTTTGCCTAGTGGCAGCGCCATTGTACAAGTTATTAAAAACGGCGGTAAGCTTTGAGTGAAGGGGGGGGGGGGTAATTAAGATGCTGCATTTGAGTGTCTAAAGAGGAAAGAACCAATTCTGGTATGTCTAAACAATGAGTTGGAAGTGATCTTGGCGGTAGACGCATCGTATAAAGGAGTAGGAGGGGCATTGTTGCATAAGATGGATGAAATAGAGATACCGGTGTTGTTCCCCGGGAGTATTCCGGGATTCTGAAACGAGGTATTCGGTGATCGAACAGGAGACTTTGGCGGTTATTTTTGGATTGACTAAATGTCGGGAGTATTTAATTGAACGCCTTTTCGTAGTGTATACAAACCACAAACCATTGATACATTTATTCAAGGACAATAGAGCTAATGATGTCCCCGAGATTGCAGAGATGGTTGTTGTTGATCGTCATAAATATTTATTTATTCCAATACTTTCTTACATTTTACATGGCATCTGTCTTAGATCCTTAACCATTATCTGATGATACCTCGCTAATTGCTAGAGAGACACGTCTGATGTTGGCTCCTCTGGAGGTTCAGTACATTTATATTTTAAAATTTTTTATTTTAGATACCAGGTCCTTGTTTTCTCCTCTAATTAATTGTACAAATTATTGAAACAAAGAAATAGGTGGCGAATAAATCAACATAATAAGCGTTTCATAGATCCTGAAACAGAGCAAAACCTATACCAATCATACAAAATAATGTTACTCATCTATATATTATTCTAAAAAAATATGTTTATTTATCTTTACGCGTTCAATAATTTTTTAAATATGTATTATTTATACTTTTATTACATTTAAGATAACATATATTATAGCTATGACAATATTCTGATGATAAATAATAAACAACAAAAAAAAGGATGAAATCCTACAATTTAAGCTTAACAAATTGGTTTCCCCAACAACATTTATCTTTATTAACAATTTATATATATTATTTTGAAATCAGGAAAAATAAGAACTAAACATAAAAATTAGCTAACGAAAATACGCAATTATAATATTGGCGGTACATATATTAATAATATATATTTTTAAAATTTACTCAGCCGCATACCTATATTAAATTTTTTTTAAACTCTTATATCTCATGATTTGTGATCAATCGCTATTGGTTGTTCACCAACATTTGTGTTTCCGCGCCATTAGTGATTCCCAAGTTACACTCCCCCTCCCAGTGATAGGGCGATTGATAAAGACCAATAGGTGTATTAATCATGGCTAATTTATTTTTGACTCGTAATCTAATTTGAGTTGTAAATACGCATCCTTCGTTTCCTTTAGAGAAAAATATCATATTACGTGTCCAATCTGACTAAAAATGTTTTGGATTGTAAAGTAATGGGTACTTATCCGTCATAAAATATTCATGCATCTGAAATCTCCACAAATTATTGATTGGTTCCAGCGTCGTTCTCGTTGCATTAGTATTGCGTTTTTATATTTGTCTTTTATAAGCATATGGAATTTGTCAGGACCAGGGAAAATTATTCTTAGGTACGTTATTTCTCGATTGTAGAAAATCTTTGAAATTCTTTAGGGTATCAAACTTATCTTCAAATAATTTTTGGAAACTCTTTGAACCAATTGCACTCACGTATTTCATCGTTCTCGCCAATGTATTGTCTCAGTAATTCTGGATTTCATATAATATCTAGTCCCAAAATATTCTTGCCGGCTCGTGATATACGAAAAACTTGAGGTTGGATATAAATTAAAAATTCGAAAGATTGTGATTGAATTATCATATTATTTTTTTATAAAATCTTTGGATGAATTTGAACCTTATATTGTATCTATCCATTGTTAATTGCAATTGAATTGCTGAAATACACGAGGAACGGCCTTACTTGTCTTAATAATCTTCGAACTATTATGAATTGAAGATATTAATAAAATTTTATTTCTACATATTTTAGAGCAAGTGTTCCACTTTACTGCAGCCGTAACATATAGCTGATTTAGAATGGCAGCGATTACAAAAATGAGACCCTAAAATGGTACGTGTGTAAGGTCTTTTGAATATGGGCTTATTATTATTGTCATTTTTATCATAACTCCCACTAATTGGACATATTTCCTTTATTCTTCAATCTCGAATGCAGTTTAGCTAATTCTTATTCTCGATATTTTTCCATATCCGTAACCATTTCTAAAGCTTTACCAAGGGTGATATCGACAGTGGCTAATAAACGTATGACGGTATTATCGATGTTTGTCAGATCTGTGCTGAACCGATCCCAAAGAGAGTGATCTAATGTATCCCTTCCAAACGATAATCGGAAGAATCTAGAAGTTCCTTTGATTTGTAGATAAATGATTAAAATATTAAGGCGCGTTATTATTTTATCCCTGCGATTAAAAATTATAGCAAAAATGTAAAAAATCATAATCATATGACCCCTCACCCTTCCTTTTTAGAGCCCACATGTCAGCATGAGAGGCCTAAAAATTTTTTTAAAATATTTGGACCAGGCTAAAGAAAAAAAATACTAAAAGAAATTTTATAAATATAATGATAATCATAATTCATCCGTTATAGGACAAAACTATTAGCGATTTTTTTACTTTAATTATCATAATAAAATTTGAATTATAATTTTTTTAAATAAAGATTTAGGCCATGCCTTTAAAAAAAAAATAATTAAAAAATGCCTTAAAAAATTGAACAATCCATAACACTTTTAACTTGTAGCCACATATTGGACCTCATTTTTTGCTGTCCAAATAAAAGATGCACAATTAAAAATATAAGGGTTAAATTCTTGACCTTACAACTTTTGTAATTTTATCCTATATTAGATTATATATATAAATTTATTTACGATAGACTTTTAATTTTTTTTTTTTAAAAAAAACAAACTTAAGCTTTTTTTTAAAAAATTAGATTTTATTAAAAAATTGGATATCAATATTGTCAAAGAAAAGTGGCGTAATTGTAAATCGTTGGATATAACAGATGATAATTTTGTTAAGCAAAAATATTTTACCCCACTTTGGCTATAAAATGTACGGTTACATTTTAATTTAATAGCAAATAAATGTATAATGATCAAAATTTTCTTATTTAAAGATTGTTTATATTTGGTATCACTTGACATATTATTTAGAAAATTTCACCCTCGATAACCATATAATCTTGTCACGATATGAATGTTTAATACATTTGATATGATAAAAAATATTGAGCTTTTATTAGTTCACTTCAATATTTTACAGAAAACATACATTAATAATAGGTTTGATATTGTTATAATTAAGAATAAATAATGTTTACATACATGCAATACAAAATTGACAACTTTTTGATCCCGGCGAGATAAAGTCATCATATTATCTTGTAACCACGCTCTGAACACATTCGTATTTAATGATTTTGTGTTGATTGGCAGATCTTTTGTGCTGTTGATGTCGCCAACACTTGATTCGCTAATAAAAATGCCGATAAACCCAAACAAATCATCGCAAAAGGTGACAGTTTCATCCATTATCTGTACGTAAAATGTAAACTTTTGATTTATATGGCTAATATCAGTCCACCTCAAAATTGGAAACTGGACTAAATAACCATTCAAATTAGTTACAGTATAATTTGAATTCAAGTACAAAGGCTCATCTATGCTTCCCTGGGAATGACTATGTGAACAATGAATATAAGTATCCGTATCTTTTATTTCATCATAATTAAGCAAGTTTTTATACTCTATTTTCTTACAATTAATTGTTTTAGTGATACTTTCTTTATTGTAAATTATGTCACTTGCAAAGTTAGTCAGGTAATTTTCTTTTTGTACATCCAATGGAACAATAATATATTTAGCGTCGGAAACATTTTTAGGAGTTTGTTGTGGATACTGCAGAGGGGAATATATTGCCATAATTGGTGTAAAATTTTCAGCAAAAGCTACTGTAAAAGAATTTTCAGGATCTATTAATCTTTTAGAATTAAAATACATAGTGTCTTGGACATGTAAGATTTCAGTGGCATTAAAATTGAAGTGATTGCTTTCCAATACTATATTATCAAAAGATATTTTATAATCAGAATATATGAAAATTCTACTTAAAGGAGGGCAACCAACCCATATATTTAAAATCTTGTAAGTTCTGATGTTACAAGATTGGAGAGTTTGAGATAACGGATAAAACCTCATATTTACAGATATGGGCATTTCAGTATCTTTTTGATTTAGTAAAGATGTAAGATTAGATTTGGTATATAAACTGTGATAAATTTGAGGGTGTAAAAAGTAATCCTTTTTGCAAAACAATTTTATGACAAATGAATGTTTAATTAGTCCATTATTTGTTATGGTTTTAGTTTCCTCGTCAAAGTAATATTGAAACAATTCTACGTCAGAGGCATCAGCTATCATTGTCAAATCTTTTTCAATTGGTATAAAATCTAATGTTAAACTAAATTCTTCATTTCTGTCTAAAAACAATATTTTTGTAAGGCCATTATATGTTTCTAGAGAGTGGTTAAATTGAAATATTTGACACTGCCAATCCAAAAAAAATAATTTGTCAAATTCGACAAGTTCCTTTAAAACAAGACTATTATTATTTAATTGAAAAAGTGCCAATAATCGGCCTTCGATGAAAGAAAAAATGGTGATATTTTTAAAAAGTTCACTTTTATCCAATTTATACAATATCATAGTAGACATTTCTCTACTACAAAACAAATTTAAAAAATTAGTTAATAAACAAAATGCATTATAGTTTCCAGTTACAACATGTAGAATGAATTCATTTTGCAAAAATATGATTTTATTTAAATTTAAATCACTCAAATTAATTTTTTCTAATGTCATTCCTTGAGTAGATGAATAATATATATCCTTCTTATCAGTAATTAAAAATGTCCCATATGATAGTTTAAATGGAATTATTTCCAAGGTATAGTTAGATAAAATTTTAGTGCTAAAATCAAATGATAAATTTGTAGAAAGTGGATAATAAAATTTTAAAGAATTTGTAGAATTCAATTGAAGTATTAACAAAACTTTAATTCTAGAATTTAAAATAATGCCATCATGAATAAGTGCATTAAACTTTCTAAAAAATAATTTGATAAATGATTTTCCATAATTCATAGACATGTAAAAATGATCAACATATTTTAGTTTTGTATAAGCTATAATATAATAACTAGTTTCTTGAGCAATTAAAGGTGATAAATATTTTTCACATACCATTGAACTAATCAAGTTAGTTACAGAATTTATAGGCACACCCGATGAATAACTTAAATTCAATGTATCTACATTAAATTGAGCAATAGTTCCATCAATAACAAGCAATATATCTTTAATGTCATTAATTATAACTGCATCATAAACAATAGGATTTATTGAGTTCAAATTTTCAAGTTTGGTAAATAAAGGTTTAGATAATTTTTTAAAATTATTATCAGAAAAATAAAGATAATTATTAAATAGTAACATGTAATTTAAATTGCATTTAAATTGAATGACGAATAATTTTTCAAATTTAGATTTGAAGTAAGTGTTTGTAGTAAGATTCGATAAAGATATTGACAACAAAATCATTATAACAATAAAAAATTGTTGGCTTTTCATCAATAAAAAAAATGTTACTTCTAAAAATGTTCATGTTGCTTTTCGCAGTTTTTCGAATAAATGGATAAACATGGGAATGGGACTTTTTTTTCGGTTAGTGTGTAACATCTTTTTTTAGGCATAAGCAATTTGCCCTTTCCCAAATAGAGTTACATTTGAACTATTTCAATCCCATAATGGGTCTAAGTGAGAGGGGGTGAGGGATTAAGAGAGAAGCTCATCAACAATTCTTGGGTAGGCTGCAGTTACCTGATATCGCAAGAGGCAACACCCCTTATTTAAACTTCCATGGGAAATAAAAAAGCCCATGCCTGTTTAAATAGTTTTAATAATAGGGAGGGAGGATATTTGCCTGTCCACTTAATAAAACTAATATTTATAACAATGCGTGAGGGTTCAGAGATTGAGCCTTTGGGTTAAAACCATTCTAGGATTTTGTTACAAGGGAGAGGCGCTATTAGATGGGGCTTACAGCCCTATATTTTTATTGTTTTTTAGTCCCACCAATTGTAGACGTTTAGCTATATTAGATTTGCTTGGTAGATAGAGATATATAAATGAAAGTGTTAACGATTATGAACTTGACGCCTATAGGTGATTGAAGGGTTGGTTGTAAATGTTAGGATTTTAGTGTAAACAGTTATTTAATAAAGTTTTTATTATTTAACTTTATAAACTGTTTCATATTAAGAATAATGCTAAGATATTTTGTTTCATATTAAGCTTAAGATCGTTTTATTGAGCCAATATGATTTGCATTTGCCATGTTTCCCCTTTGCCGCTTTAGATCCATAATCATATTGCTACATATCTAAATAATATTTCAGATATTATTGTAGAGGATATTAGATTTATTAGACTAATAAACCATTTATGTGGAGATTATAATCCCGTTTATAAAATATTTTTCTGAAAAATTGACTAATGAAATATATTATGATTATATGGAATAAAATTAATTGTCAAATGGAGGAAAACTTTCCTTAAGTTTTACAAGTGATGTGTGATCCATATTTTCTGTACAGATTCGCATATCATGTCATCTGATAAATGACAATTTTGAACCAATTGCGATTACTTCATGTTGTAAATTTTAAAGATTAACATGCTGGGTAAATTATTGTGGAAACATGATGACCAGTTCGAATATTAGTAAAAGTAAAATACATGTCGTATACGTGAAAATGAAACAAATTTAAAATCTGGTTGTAATCTAAATAATTAAATCTTATATATGTTTGCAAAGCTTATTTAGGAAATCATTCAAATGTTTTATGTTATGCCCACTCCCCACAATTAGTGGTAAAAGAAGGAGTTTTTACACAGAGGGCAATTATTGATATGTTATCTAGTGCAATAAAAATTATTGATCGTTTAATCTTTCACCTATTGCTATCAATAGACTCAAAATATTCAAAATTTAATTTACCCATCCACAAACTTGTTCAAGATATTGACTCAAGTTAGGATTCAAATTTTTACATGCTAGAAAGACTCTCGGAACAAAAAAGGGCCTTGCATATTTATTGCAACGATTCCTTCGATAGGTTAACACCAAATGGTGCTTAAAAACTAAAGTTTATATAAACCTCTTATAAATTCGACGCGTCACTAAATAAATTAATGAAAAAAATGCATCGATTCGCATATTTATTCCATTTGTAGAATTACTTTAAAAAGCTTGGTTAGTCATGGTAGCATGGTGTCCAAACTATGAAGAATTCATAGCAATAATTTAGATTAACAGATCACATTTTAGTACTGTTTTTTATAAACGCTAGTTTCTAATTAAGAAAATGGTAGTTAAAAAAAACTAATTGGTATTTATCTGGATCAAAATGGTAACAACCCGAATTATTAAAAATAAAGTTACGGAAGAGGTTAAAAGTATAAATATTGAAGATAAAATAAGACTCTGTCCAATTTAAATTTTACAATGTTGAGATAAATATTGGCCTAAAAATTTAAATAGTATGATATAAATGCGATAGTTAAGTGGTAATACCAAATCTGTAACATATAATATTATAAATAACCCTAAAATTATAGTGAAGGGAAATAGTGGAAAAGATCATATGTTGTATAAAGAATTAAACATGGAAAGAGATAGGCTACCTGTATTATAAAATACACTTGAAAAACTCGCGAGGAATAAAAAAATTAGAAGATAAAAATAAGGTAACAAACGCGAAGCAACGAATTCAACAATTAGAAACGTTGAAAGAGACACGTGAATAAATCAAGGTTATCAAAGTTAGTGCGCAAAATATATATATTAACTTGGATATACAAAAAATACCTAAAAATTTGGTAAGGAAAAAATTTTGAAAAATACATGTTTAGTAATAAGAAAAAGAATTAATGTTACTAAGTTGAATGTGCTTTATTTTAAAAGAAATGGATGATATTTGAAAGGAGATAAATAATTAAAAATTAAAGAGTAGAAATGATGCACCAACGAAAATTAAAGAAAAAATTATATAATATATATATATATATATATATTTAGTAGTGTTGTAAACGAACGTGTTCAAAATGAACGCGTTCGTGAACGAAGTTCGTTTTTTTGAAAAAAGGTGATGAACGGCGTTCCTTTTTTTTGACGAACTTTGAACGTGAACGCGTTCCTTTTCTTTGATGAACGCGTTCAATTTTACGTTCGTTCAATTTTAAAAACACTTTTTATTTTTATTTATTTGAAAAATTAATATTAATCCGCATTTTTTAACAAAAAAGTCTTATATTTTTATTTATTTGAAAAATTAATATTTAATCCAATGTTTTAACAAAAAAGTCTCATATTTTTTAATCAGCTGTTTTTACTTTTTCCTCTTTCATATTGCAATTAACGTACCATAACGTGCTACTGCTAGAGAAGATAAGATTAAAGTTTATTAATTGCATGGATATAAATATTTCATCATCAGATTCTGAAAATCAAAATTCAATATTAGATGAATTAGAATTACCATGGCCCAAATATCAAAAATATTTCACTGTTTTAAAATCAAAAGGTAATTCAATAGTTTTTAGTATAGCTAACGCTGTATTAACTGCCAAGCGTTTATGCCTATCAGATGAAAATTTTGAAAAGCAATTATTATTAAAAATTAATAAGAAAAATTTTTTATAAATTTAATTTTTTATCGCTCTATTATATTGTATTTATAATTATATTATCAAAATAAAACTATTATTTTTTATCATGGCTAATATATTGTGTTGAAAAATATAAGGCATTTATTTATATTAAATTAAATTTTAAAAAAAATTTATCATAAAATTTTGAACGCGTGAACGTGAACGCGTTCGATTTTTGTCAATGAACGTTGAACGCGAACGCGTTCGATTTTTTTAAAAATGTTTACAGCTTAATATTTAGTATAATATAGTAATCGGTAAAATATATGTAGTAAGAGGTGTATTATAATCAGGCTATTGATGGGGTTGGTTAATTATTGTTATCTTTTTGGTTTCAAACCAAACGTGTATTTGAGCAGTAAAAAAAAAATATTACCATTTTCTCATTGTTAATAGTTTTATATTTTAACCCTACTATGGATACATTTAGACAATCCGTGTTTTTGGATATACATTTTTTCTGCCAGATGCCTTAATTTATTTCAGTGACGCCCATAAAAATGCTACCATTCCACCAAAACTTAAACCTTATTTTTAAGAAACCATTTTAAATTCCGATAACCCCATTCTTTTAATACTTATGTAATATCTATATACACCCCCATCAAATTCTTCTTACTTGTTTATACTTATTTCTTATCCTGTTCTACTATGATCTATTTTAGCATTGGATCTGTAAAAATAAAATCGATTTTATTTTGTCCAGCAGGTTTTATGTATCTATTATTATTTGAGTACATTTGTTTTATATCTTACCCCTCAAATTACCTACCCCATTTATTATATAGTTAGTATCACCTATTCTATCTTTTCCAATTCATCTTCCACGGATCCTCATCCCACCCTTCTTAATGATCTTTAACGAGTTTCTTTACTTATGTTCATTATTTAAAAAATAATTTATTAATTTAAATAGAAGATAAGCGAAAGCAGTTTTATTTTTATAGCATTTTTTCTTAAATAATAATAAATGTGATTTTACAAGTGGTATAATGAAAATAGTGACAATTCCAAATAAAATCTTTGAAATAGTGGTACAATGAAAATAGTGACAATTCCAAGAGGTATAATAAAAATAGTGACAATTCCAAATAAAATCTTTGAAATAGTGGTATAATGAAAATAGTGACAATTCCAAGTGGTATAATGAAAATAGTGACAATTCCAAATAAAATCTTTGATATAGTATAAATGAGTTATTTAACGAAAAGGTACTGTGCAAATATAATTATTTATCAAAAAAAATTATGGGGATATTTTCGGCGTTATTTTTGTTTGTTTTACCCAATACGTGCCATTTCAAGGACCTTGTGGAGGACCCGGGCTAAAAATAATAAGGTAGAAATTTTTTATTTATTAGTTAAAAATGTAGATAATTTTTTTGTATAATTGATTTAAAAAAGAAAATGATTGAATGATGACAATCAATTATTAATCGAATACTATACATATTTTATTTTTCGAATAGTTATATAGCTATGCACAATTTTTCGTAGAGATAAAAACCTCCTTGAATTCATAGTGACGCGATTCGCGATTTAACAGCTGATCGATTTTTTGAAAATTTTATCTTTAAAATTCAATTCGTAATAATAATGTAAGAAATATAATGATTTTAATAAAGAAAAATTGATCTACATAAAATTGATTTAAAAAAAAAATCTGTCAGCTGTTAAATCGAGATCGCAATGGGGAGAATTCTTGATTTTTATGCTAATTTAAAATAAACACATATTTTTACGTCCCGGAAATTCAGAATAACCTCTCATTCACAGTTTGGGAGAATTCGCGCTAACTATGAATGAGGGGTTAGTCCTAACCTTATTTTTTAGAGTTTGAGTTTTAGAAAAAAATCTTTGAATAATTTGAAAGCGTCGTTGAATGCGAATCAGCTGGACCCGCCATTTTGGTAACCCATACAGTGGCGTAGCTACGGGGGTGGTTTTCGGGTTTGGACCCCTCCCAGAGCTAAAATTTATTTTTAGATTATACGTTCAAAAGACTTATAAGTGGTGACTTTATATCAAATAAATACCAATAATATTTTTATTTTTCTGGTTTTGATGTTTGTGGAAGGATTTTATATTACTATTAAAATTATTCTGGATAGTATTATTATAAAGATTGAGAATAATCTACTAAATTATAAAACAAATTATTGATGCATTTAAAAAAATATATTTATTATATATTATCGAAGATATGGTTATGATTTGTGAGATAAACCCGGACGTTCTCATGTTAAAAACTACAGTTAAATTAATAAAATGCTTCCTTATTATCTGGATGATCAGGCTATTCTTTAATAAAGTTTGCGTCAGGCGTAGGAATAAATTGACCTCTAGTTTAAATTTTTTTAAATAATTTATATGAGTAACCAAAATGGCGTCTCCAGCTTTTTTTCGTTGATGTACACATCGTCATTCTGGGTATTATTATAATGTCATTGGTAGCAATATTATTTTTTTTTGTATGAAAAATCTCGATTTTAATTACTTTTGTAAAATTTATTTCCCTTTCCTCAAGCAGAAGATTTAAAAGAAAACACAATATATACCTAAAGGAATAAAAACAAATGTTTAATCACGATTCAATTATTTATTTTTTTCTATTAACTCTAGCATAATAATGAATAATAAATTTTTTGATTAAGTACAAACGTGAGAATATAGAATTATTTTCGAAATCCAATATAAATATCTTAATATTTATTCAAAATTCGTATATTTTTCAGAACCTTACTGATAAAAAATACAAAGGGAATCAAAATTCCATTCTTACCTAGAATAAAAAAATTGATTGATTGACATTCTTTTAGATATTCGACGTGCATAACATGTAAGATTGTCAATATGATGTTGCATAAAAATTAAATATAAAATCTACGAATCTACATTTAAACATTATTTGATTGACATTGGATATTATACAAAGTTATATATATAAATATATATAATATACATTATCACAACACTTAGTCTTAATAAATTTTAGCTCAAAATCATTCAATTTAATTAACTATAGTAAATCATAAGCGTTTAAAATGATCTTTACTACATTATCATTTTTTCTGTAATATTTTCTCATCTCATTCATATTAGATTAGCATTTTTACTCAAGATTATAATAAAAAACTTCTATTTACATTACGAAAGCTTTTCGAAAAATGTATTTTAAATAAATGTCATTCAAGTTATCATATTTTAAATAAAATATTTATCAGAGTGAATTCACCCGTCATAACATTTGACTGGCATCCCATTTAAGGAAAAACGGAACGAACATCTAAAACAATAAGTTGCTATACACTCGGCTTGTGGATAGCGAGGACACCTCCGCCCTAAACATGGATCTACGTAACACTGAACGATTGAGTCAGGTGGGCATAGATCATCGACTGGTTGTGCTGAGAGTGCGATAAAGAACCACAATATTGAAATAATAATTTATATATTATAAACATGTTCTGTCCGATGTGAATCCCCAAAAGATACCAGGGTCGTTTATTTACAAAAAAAACATCAAGGAATTTAGCTTATTTACCTTTTTGTAATGATCTGGTTAAAATTTATTTAAATTATCAATCAGAATAGAATGAAAGGTATATCTTGAATGTTAAAATATAGCGAGAACTCTATATATATAGATAATCTTGTAAATTAAAGGTTTTACTAAAGATAATAGCAGAGCTCGGCTAATATAAATTGAATTTATTTATGATAGCCTTTCACCTTAAAATATACATTATGCTTCCAAGCTAGATTCTTAATAATCATTAATATTGTCGCTTTTAATTTGATTAAAATATTACCCTTTATTTACATAATGATTAGTTGAATAATTATTTTACCAATATTTTCTAAAAGATTCAAAATAATGGAAAACGGAAATATGATAAGTGAATGAATGTGATATATTGTTCCCTTGATACCCAATTTTTAAATATATAACATTTTAATTTTTACAGATAATAATGTCGATTTTAAAACATTCGGCTTAAAAAAAAATTCTGCCATACCCTGATTACCGGTTATTTTTTTTAAATTTTTAGGCTCGGTTTGTGAACCCGGGCAGGGGTTAGGACCGTGCCCGCAGGTCTCTGATATAGATCATAGAAGCAAAGATTAATGATCTTTTTTAAATCTATATCAAAAATGAGGACAAGAAAAACGTTTTTGTTTGTTATTAACATGGAATTAAATAAATAACAAACCTATGATGGAATAAATTCGAACTAAAGGTGCAATAAAGTTTTAACAAATTTTAAAATGGTGGAATTTTCGGGGGCGTGACGGGAGTGCTCAAAATATTGTCTTACGTGAGCGGGCGATTCGGGTTTAAAAATTTTTTTTTTAGTTGCAAGCGTGTAAGGGGCGTGAATTTTTTTGCCACCCTGAGCGGATGAGCCCTGAATAAAAAAATTAGCACCCACCTCTAATCAATATCATAAGAAGATATGAGTTCAAAAGTTATAGCTTTCAAAATTTATTTAACATTATTGAAGATCAAGCAAGACCGGTGCATCGTTGGAAGTAACACGTATTTAACTGTATAGGATTAAAAATTAAAAAGTCTCTGGGTTCTGGTTGTGAAAAGCTTAACTTTAATTATATTGTTACTAAAAGATTTTTCTAAGCATACTCCCAAACTAACAAACTCCATGGTACTTTTTTTTCTGGCATTGAAATCTAATCATACTTGCTATAAAATTTTAGCGGTTTCGCGGACCTGTATACCTAATTATCGCAATTTGTTTCTTATTCAAAAAAAAAAAATGATGAGAAAAGGATCATTTAGGATCATTTTATAACAAAATAATTATTTTAAATTTATTAAAATGATGATTTACGGGTGTAAAATTATAAGTTAAATTATGCATAAATATTTATAGAAAATTTAATATCAAATAGTGTTATAGCTTAAACGGTTTTTAATATTTTCGGCCCATAAAAATATATCGCTTAAACCCCCCCCCCCCGAGATTTCGCTAATAGATGTTCCAAACCTATGTACCATCTATATAGAAAAATTTCTTAGGACCTAGCGGAAATATTTGTTCTGGGATAAAATATAAAAATAGCTCAAAAACGAGACATTTTTACAACAATAAAACTATTCAATTATTTTAAGAGGATTTAAATGTTAAAAAAAAAAATTAACATAATAAATAAGTATAACTCTACCTAGAGACACACAGACTCCTATTAAAATCAGGGAAAGGCACAGAACGATGTTCATGATGAAAAATAAATTTACTTGCTTTAATTAATTCTTATTTTAACAAATAAAATAATTGAGAGTTTAGTATTTAGTAATTTATATCTTAAAACTAGTTCCGGTTATAAATGATTAAATATTACAATTATATCGATATTTTTTTTGTGTGAAAAAGGATCTAAAAAAGTATCATTTAAACAAAATGGTCCAATTTAGGTGTGTTTGACGTGATATAATTTTGGCCGACAATTTTTATTGTTAATATTTAAATAATATTATCATCATTATTATTTCGGCAATTGTCCAAAGGTTAAGTAATAATTTTTTTTTTTTTTATGATATCAGATCTCATTATATATATTTATTTAAAAAAAAAACAATTAAGTTATCTTAACGTTTCAGGATATTAATATTTAGAAAACGAAATATATATTACCAAAGGCGTATATTCCAGAATTTTGCTAAGGGATAGGGTGGGGGGAAAACAGTATTAGAGATCCTTAGGTCCACTTATAGGAGGTCTTTGTTGGTTATATTAAAATTTTTTATAAAATTAACTTTGACTTTTTTAAAATGGCTTTTATTTTCTAAAAATTTTGAATTTAATATAGTCGTTATTTTAAAAAAATTTTATTAATTTTTTAATTAATATTTTATTTCAAATTCTTCTTTATATTGATATATATTTTTTGAGTGTGTGGGTCGGGAGGGGTGTGGGGGGGGGTTAAGGTGTAAAGGGGCGGAAATTTTTATCAGCTTAAAATAATATTTGACCCCCCCCCCCCTTTACGCACATGAATCAATTTTTTTTTAAATGGATGTATAGTGGAAAACCTGTAGTTGGAAAAATTCCATAATAGACGTGACAGAACTGTCTCAGCATAAGCTATCACGATAGCAAATTTGTGAAGATTCAATGATAATAATAATCAAAACGAGGAAGATATCAAAGGGGATAATGTTTGAACATGCCAATCAGGTAATCGATTCTATGACTTTTAAAAATCCAAGTGGGAAGCCGATCAATATTTACCCGCCTTCACGGGGCAAATTGCCAGTCATTAAAAGGCACCTGTCCGTCATGACTTACGGTGGAAATGTATTGAGAATAATAATAAATATTTGTTTACTAAATAAGACTCACACAAAACAAAAACTATAAAAGCGTTAAACATTTAGTTTTCGCCAATATTTAGTGCGTTGGCCGCCATTTATTGTTTGTTATTGTTTATTTTTTTGCAAATCCAGCTAAAAAAAGTGATTGAAGCTCTCTCTCCTAATGAAGCACTAAGGAATGATATATATTTCATTATTAATTTCAATCGACTTTTAAGCGTTGAAGTTGGCACAAGTTTTTAATTTTTGCTTTTCCTTAAATTCGGCTACTATCCGGATTGAAGCACTAACGAAGCACTAAAAAAATGACGTATGATTCATCTTTAGTGCTTCCAATCGTTCGGCCAACTTCACGAAGCTCGTTTTTCCGTTATATTGATTTTTTATGACTTTTTTTTTTAATTAACAAGAAATAGAAAAAAAGTTTATAAAGGTTCTATACGAGTCTAATTCGTATAATCACGATGTCAAAAGCCTCAGTTTTATCCGGCAGCTACGCTATGACTGGGGTAAGACGGTTACCCGGCCTCAGTTTTATCCGGCAGCTACGCTATGACTGGGGTACTACGGTTACCCGCAACCGAATATGGAAAACATCATCCGAACAACGATAAAATTTATTTTATATAAGCGAAATAGAAATTTGAAAACAGGAAAAAAAAAGAAGAAAAAAGTTATTGATTTTATTCGATAATAACATTTTTTTTTACCTTTGTTATTTCAACTGGTGGCATATTTCGTATTTAAAATATTTTTTTAATTTTTTAAAAAAATTATAAAAATTATTACAAAATCACTACTCACTTACTATTCATTTTGAACGTATAAGAAGTAATAAATATATATTTTTTTGCAGTAATTTGTTCTCGTTTTAAATTAATCGCAGGTGGTCTCCTCTTTTAAAAATATTAAATTTCTGTATTTTTTTATATTTTTTTAAATAATTTTTTTTTAATTAATTCTTATTTTTTTTAAAAATAAAATGTTTATTTGTTCACCTGAATTTTAACCTGATTTTGAAAATCTCTCAAAAAAAAAGTTTATAGTTTTTTAACTCTGCCATTTTCAGTTTTAATTTTCTGCTTCAAAAAAAAAAAAAATTTTAGAAATATATATTTCAAAAAATTATGAAGACTTCAATGATCATCTTGGGAATGTTGTTTGTGTCATGCTGCTTCTATATCAATTCCGGTAAAAATAAAAATATATATTTTTTTAAAAAATTTTGGGTGATATATTTAAAAATTTGTATATTACAGTGGCGTAGCTAGGAATTTTTCTTAGAGGGGGTCCATACAGGCCCCTTTAACGGGCCTTCGGGCCTTTTGCCCGGCCTTCGGCCGGGTTTATCTTACAAATCATAACCATACCTTCGATAATATATAATAAATATATTTTTTAAACGCATCTGTTATTATAATTTAGTACAGATTATTCTCAATGACTTTATAATAATACTATCCAGAATAATTTCAATAGTAATATAATATATCCTTCCACAAACATCAAAACCGGAAAAATATAATTCATATAAAATCACTTTTAACTCTTTTGAACGTATAATCTAAAAAAAAATTTTTGCTCTGGGAGGGGTCCTAACCCGAAAACCACCCCCGTAGCTACGCCACTGGTATATTATCGCGAAATATTATTTAAAAATAAAAAAATATCTTTCATATTTTAAATTTATCTTAAAATTTGAAGCTAAGTTTTCGCTCCCTTTCAACTCTTTTTAAATCGGTGTTTGCTGTCTTGAAGCTTATAACAGTGTTGTAACCAGAGATTTAATGATTTAATGATTTAATTCAAAAAAACATTTTCCAATAGTTTTTTTTTGTTTTTTTTTGTTTTTAAAAAAATTCGATTTTAAACTTTGTTAATAACAAAATAAATATTGAATCAATTTTTCTCCTATAAGCCGCGCCGGGAATCGAAATTAAATACAAGCCACACAAGTATAGCGAAGACGATAGTGGTATAACCTTATTTATCTATTCTAATATATTTATCATAATCATTTTCACTTCTCTCCTTAAGATAAGCCATGGGCTCTTAATTTTTCGATTTACATATCATAGATGGCATTCATCCATGATAATATATTGCAAAAATTGTATGTAACAATCTCGTAAAATTGTTTTTCCCTCTAACTGACCAGCGAAAATCGCCACTGTTTTCTCTATTCGTTTCCAACCGGATCAAAGTTCAGACATCGGTTGATAACCCGGTCCGTCCCTCGCCACGTGACCTTCAACAATCATCCCTAATATAGCCTAATCAAGATTTTGTTAAGGGGAGGAAGGGGGCCACTCTTAGTCTAGGCTTTCCCCACATATGCTTCTATTAAAAGATGCACAATTTACGTGTAGGGCCCATGAGGGGTGTAGAATTAGCATCTTTTATTAACTTAAGAGAATATTTACGGGATCCGGAAAAAATCCCTAGAAGATCGGGAAAAGTCTTCATTTCTCTCCTTCCTTTCTTACTCACTTCTATTTTTAAAATCATTATTTTATTTTATTTTTTAATTATTATTATTTTTTTAGATAAAGAAATAATGAAAGTAATGAAAATGAACGATGATTACGACAATGGTAAAGAATAATTTTATAATTGTAAATATTAGAATGCAGGGATAAAGGTTTTCCTTGATTTTGTTTTGAAGATTTTTTTTTACATCTGACAGAATATCGCAGCATTTTTTTTAAACTCTAAGGGACCCATCCATTTCTATAAGCAGCTAAGAATTCTTCTTTGTATAATAATATATTGTTAAAATGGTACTAAATTTATAATAACTTACTATATAAGCTAAAAAAAATCATTTAGGGTTGTTTCTAATATAACCATCCCATATACATTTTATCAGAGTTGTTAAAGGATCAAGATACAAGTATCTAGATCCAGTATCTAGATATATAAATGCGGTCTTTGTATCTGTATCTTGATAGATTTTTGATTAAAATATCTGTATCTAGATATTATTTTAGACGATATATCTGTATCTAGATCCATTTAAAAAGTATCTTTTAACAACTCTGCATTTTATAAATAACTCATTTAACTTGTTAAATGTTATATCTTTCTTTTTTTTGAAAAAAATAAAAATATAGATTACGTCAATAATGACGAAAAGGATTATTTGACTATTCCACCAAAGACATTCAGGCAATAAAATGATGGGCATATCGTTTTTAAATTTTCAATATATTATTATTATTATTATCCAAAATTTATTTGCAATTGGATTAAATTTATTATTATAATTAATCATTATTTTTATGTTTATTTTTTCCCTCTCCTAAATTATCGATTCAAAATTATTTGTGGAATTATTTAAAAAAATTTTAAAAATTTTAAAAATAAAATTTTCAATTAGCTAAAATTTTACGACTATTTTATATGAAAAATTAAGATCTATTTCAACCGTAATGGTTCAAAAGTAGTATATTTTAGCCAGCAAAAAATATAGCCTAAGTCTTCTAGAGATTTCGATAATAAATGTCTAGTAGACCTTTGTTCCTTCTATGAACAAAATCTTCAGGAGTCGCGTAATATTTTTCTGGATAAGATATCGAGTTAGCCGTTTTTAAAAAAATCGGCTCAAAGCAAGCCGGTTAACAACACTATTCGAAAGTCCAAAACCGATAATGAGTTAAAACTGATTAGGAAAAATATGGATTATATACATATTTTATGTGAAGGAAGGATATATTTCTCGTAACCATAATGATATAGCGGTGTGATTAAACTGAACTCAGAATGGCTAAGTAGATATTATTATAGTTTAGAGTTTCTATAATAATAAATTGTATTTTAAGTAAAAAAAAAGGTTTTTTTATTATATAACTCATAATATTAAATTCCCTTAATTTAAAATTTTATCTAAAATAAAAGAAATAATAGTAAATGAAGAGAAAATTTCCTAGTATCGTTTTAAACGGATATCGATTTGAGCCTATTTTATTTTATTTTTTTAAAAACGGTTTAAACTCAATATTTTATTAAGGAAATATATTACGCAAGCCAGAAGATTTTGGTGATCACTGGCAAAAAAAGGATTTGAAACATCTGTTAGCTTAATTCTAGAGGTTTAAGCAATATTTTTTTCTGGCTAAAATATTGAGTAAGAGTCGTTTAACAAAACACTATTCTATATTAATTTTATAAAAATTTGCGCGTATTAACATTGGACAAAGAATAATACTATCCGACAAATAGGACACCGAATAAAAATATTCAATTTAAAAATGTTAAGAATAAGAAGGGAATTCCTCATATATGTTTTTATTCATAAAGATAATGATAATGAGCAGCCGTTCTCCATTTTAGCCACGAATTTTTTTTTAGGTAAAAACCTTGAACATATGTGGAGTATTAGGGAAATATTTCGATGTTGGTTAAATGTATTGCTATAAAGGGTTCCATGGCAAGACCTGTTGTGGGCCAGAGTTAATCTAGGCAAAAGTGTAGATTACGAAAAATGCTTAATTTTATTAGACTCTAAACCCACTACATTTGTTAAAATCTAAAAGAGACTTAGGGCTATTGAGCAGCGCCCATGAAGCCAATAAGTTTTTTTAGTTTTTAACAAACTAGGTCACACTAAAGCCTAATACCGAGCTCCTGGACCGCGTTAGCAGTTAGATTCGCAGCTTGGTATGTCATACGATTCGGTCTAGAGTAGTCTTAAAAAGCAGTCGGCATTCCCCTGTTTATAGACGGAGTATTGAAATTTAGCTAGGAGTAATGTCCATCTGGTTAATCTTAGTGTTAGATCGAACAAAAAACAAAAAAAAATACTTTATAAACCTTTACAACCATTATAATAATATTCAGATCAAGGTAGAATGACATTTTCAAGTGACAAAACTCCCTAGCAATAGTTTAGGGGGGGGGATTACTAAGAGGTTAGGAGCCTTAAGATGACTGCAACGTCCTCACGATAATCACTAACACCCATTGATTTATATAATTAAGCTAGCATCAATATATTTAAAGTGAAATAACTTTTGGCCCAGTACTCTCGTCAGTCTAGGATTTTGAATAAATATTAAGAAGTATAAGATCTATCTGAAAAAACTTAAAAGAACAGCCATTTCCGGTTTTCTATTTTCGGTTTTTTTGGTAATAGACTAATTTTAAATAATAAATTTTATATCATATTAAAGGGTTGTTCTATAGCTATTTGATAAAATTTAAATTTATGTTTTTAGTTTTAATTACTTTTCAGAGATATTAAAAACAAATTAATACTGAAGTTGGGAATTAAAATTTTATATTTATACCAGTTAGTGTAATATACTACCATCATACAAATTTTTTAAAATAATCGAAGAGGGTGGGATTGAATCTTTAGTTGATTTTGATATGGAATACAAATTTTTTTAATGGGGGCCTAATATTTATTTAAACTAAAAAATATTTTTTGATAGCTGCCTGAAAGATTTCTTTAAAATTTTTATTAAGTATAATATATAGGTTTGATTTTATTATGTAAAAATTGATAAGACTATCTAAATTTTTATTAAACGAGTGCTATTTTAATTATTAGATTAGATTAATATACGTATAAATTATATTTTCACTATGTCAGCTTGCAAATCAAATTCTATGCTAAAGATGGAATATCAGTCATAACATCTAATTTTTAATTTAGTAATAACAGTTTGAAGTTTAGTATTTAAAATATTTTATAACCCTAAATTCAATAAATAAAATAATTTATTAATAAAAAGAAAAAAACAAATTTAATATTGTAATCACCCGAGTTCACAATCACTAATTCATTTTTAAACCTGATTACCATGTCTTTTACTAAAAATTCCAAGGTCCCAAGTATAAGAAATTTCATTGTTGATAATCCTCTATTATATAGAATTCGTTATAAAATATTAGGTGATGCCACTTTTACAGACATATTTCACAGTTATGGAATATATTACAGTTAATACTTTAATAAACTTTACTAATCAATGTTTTAGATGATAAATATAAGTAACAATTTGCATTCAATTTTTTAACGCCATCTATTTTGATTTTAAAAATTATTAAAAATTAAACATCTTATTTATTCATTCCACAATGGATGGCAATCCTTATTATAAGATATCTTTTTTTACGTGTTTTAGGAAAGGCTATTTTTTTCTTCTTTGAAAAACATTTTTGAGTTAAATTATAATTACCTTTAATATAGATATTGTATTATTACACACTTATTTTAAGATATAATATACTAACTAGAGGTGTTGCGACAATAATATATAAGGTCTCAATTGCTTTCCTCATATCTGATAGTTATAAAATTTTCCATTTCTATTATGGCATCCTTACCGTGTAAATAACTCAAGGCTACAATATATTTGCATAATTATTTCTTCTAAAGATTCTTAGTGTTTTTTTGTTTTATCAATTTATCCAACATAATAAATTCTGATATTAGTTTACACAGTGAGTGTCATGGCTATTACTGCAAATTAACCAGCATCTATTATTTGTGTTGCTATGATGAGATTTGAGATTATTACCACAACGGCTGAGAGCATTTGATTGCATAATTTAGATTATTAATAAGGATCAATCAACGGCCTAATCGTTTATATATCATTAAAAATTGAGGATAGACTTTTAGAAATTTAATATCGCACAATAATTTTCTCGAGTACTTATCTAGCTACCATCATGTCATCTAGGAAGAAGCTTTAACTACCATAGAGTTTTATGATTTGGATCAGTCGTTTTAAATTCCCTTCTTCAAGAATTATTGATTTGAGTAAGGCCCACAAATTTTTCCTCATTAATCCATTCTATAAAGCATTTGACTATAAATGGTAAAACAACGTTATATTAGTTTTATGCTAAGAATTATATTGCCTTGTGTGGGTTTTAAAAAAACCATTATCAATTGAGGCAGTGTATATGTGAATTAATTAAACTTTTTTTATCACTTGTAATGCTTTAGACGCAAATTTACATTATCCGCAATCGAAACTATTCGATATTGTAATAAATTGTTAATTATTCTGTATTAAAATTTTTATCTTTAGAAATGTCGTGTATTGTTTTACTTTGATAATTTGTATACCTTGAAAAAATATGAAATTCAGAATTATCAGAGTTTGCGAATTTCAATTTAAAAAGTATAATATATTCAATAAAGCTCGGGCCGAAAGCCGGCAAAGGTTATGGAGGCTTCGCCCCCCCCCCCCGCCCATAAATTTTTTTTAGTTGAGCCCCCCCCCTTGAGATCGTAAAGGCTAGTGACATCCCTGAAAAGTTGTCTTGCATTTTTAAAGAACAACTTAAATTAAAGTTATTGAACTGAGTTTGAATCTGATGGGTGTAGGTGTTCCAACATATGACTAATGTTGTCATAATGGTATTCCTCAGAATGTATTGAAATAAGGTTGAACCAGATACGGTAGTTTCACAGTAGCCTGGGTTTGTCACCAGTACCACCATCCTACTTAATCAAACTTGAATTTCGTCAAAAATAAGAAATAAATCAAACTGTAATGTAAATTCTGTAATATTTCATTAATTATTGTTTATCATCATGTAGTGTTAATTGAATGCTACATTAATGTTTTAGGTCATAGTTATATTATTATATACGTATAACGGTAAAGTTAATTTGAAACTATTATTTTTCCGGAAAGCAATTTTATTAATTGAAATTATCCCTTTCAAATAGGCTATACATTAACATATTATAGTTATCGTGACTTTTAAAGATCAACTTAATAAAATGGGTGATAACTTTGATTTTTTATTTTTTTACGATAATATATCTCAATAAGATAGCCATTTTGGGTATCTTTTAAAGAAGTTATAGTTAAACTATTTAATAAAAAAATGACTCACAAATACCTGTCGAGAGAGAAGCTACATTCAGTATTTCTATCTAGGGGTTCTTAATCTAATAAAAGTCATGACCTTAATTTATTTAACTAGTGATATAATACCATGTGAACTATTTTAGTTTGCTAAAAAAAATTTAAAGAGATATATAAGCACAGGAGATGGTAAAAAACTGTTATACAACCTGTTTCAATCTCAGTTCAACGCATAATCTGATAAATCCCTTTAGAATAAAATTGAAAGTAGCGATATCTTTGGTGCTTATAAGCTTTTCGAATCTCTCAAAATCATGAAATACATATTCAGCGGTGTTTAATATATCGCTTTATTAGGATAAGAAGATCAAATCTAATAATATAATAACATGTTAGATGCAGAGTTGTTAAAGGATCTAGATACAAAAATGTGGTATCTATATCTAGATAGATTTTTGATTAAAATATGTGTATCTAGATATTATTTTAGACGATGTATCTGTATCTAGATCCATTTGAAAAGTATCTTTTAACAAATGTATATATTTAGAGTTAAAAATATTTTACGTACCTGAGCTATTGACGATTATCTGTATCTAGATTCATTTGACATGTATCTGCTAAAACTGTTGTTGGGAATGAAAATATTATCGTATCACGATGAAATTAAGATGGCGTTAAAATATGAACAAAAATAATAAAATTGATATGATATATGAAAGTTTAAAAAACACTTTTTATAAAACAATTCCCTTTAATACAAAATATACGATTAGAAAATATTTAAATATAAATACACTTTTTATAAAACAATTCCCTTTAATACAAAATATACGATTAGAAAATATTTAAATATAAATGTAAATAGATATAAAACAATTTTGTGGTTTTTTTTAAAAACTAAAAACTATCATTTATTGTTGGACCAACGTATACCTAGAGTATGAAGGCATGGTTGGGCCAAGAAAATATATATTAACTATTTTAAATTAGTGATTAAAAATTAATTTAATTTTATTAAATTTATTTAGGTTTAAACGAAAGGTGTCCAATCCTACCCCCCCCTTCTGTTTCCTTAATCTTATAGATTTTAAAACAATTCTACATGCCAAATGCATTGAGATCAAAAACAGCGCAATATTTTAAAAAAATTAACAGGCCAGGAATGGTAATAAATTTATAATTTGAAATATTTAGATATTTATTGTCCAATTTCATGCATTGATAATCATAATTTCTTGATTAATAATTGGATATTATTTGTTTTTCTAACTTTGCTATATATATATACTATAACTTGTATTAAATTACATGGTCTTAGCTTTATTATGCTAATTGAGTTATAATCGTTCAGGGGGACAGATTGGCCACGCCACGGACTTGTGGGCGTTTTTTTTGTTTTAAATAGTGGTCTCATCTTTATAAAATTTAAACTATTCCCATGTTCCTAAGGTAATTTTTTTTTTTCAAAACTGTTTTATTACGACTCGAAAACCTTTTTTTAAAATAATCCTGAAATAAAGTTGGTTTATGAGTTTAACGTTTTCCAAAATGTTGGAATAAAGAAAATTGGCACTCCATGTCCCAAACTATTTTTTTACTGGGTGCTAAATGTATTACATTTTCGAAACGTTTTGATAAGAAGAAGCTATTAGTTAAATATTTTTGGGGCGATGCGGAAGGCGTACACGCTGTAAAAGTTATATTTGTTTTTTAATTTTAAATGATAAAGCTATCATTGTTGTTAAATTACCTAACTCTGACCATCTTCAATTGTGGATTAAATCAAACTTTTAGCCTACAAAATTGAATTGAGCCTCTAAGTAAAGTACAACCTGGAGGTTCGAGCATGATGTTCAGAACTGGGATTTAAAGGATTCTATCAGATATATTATATATATACTCTATTTCAGAAACCTGTTTCTTAGATTTCTAAATGATATCTCAGAATGAATTGTGAATGTAAAAATTTTCGTATTTCTGAAGGTTTCGAGTCTCTAAGTTAAGTCCAAGAGCGAGCAGAGTTTAAACTGGAAGTTTCTATCATAATTTTTAGAATGGGATTAAAAGAATTAAACAGATATATATATAAATACACTATTTCAGAAACCTGTTTCTTAGATTCTAAATGATATCTCAGAATGAATTATGAGTGTAAAAATTTTCGTATTTCTGAAGGTTTTTTTGCCAGAAAGTTTCCAGGAGAGAGTGTATAGTACCCAATTTTGATAAATCTCCATGTGTTTTTTAAAATATCTGCCAGATTTTGGATAGTGGAACCCTAGTCCTTCTTTGGTTGATTAAAAATTGAAATCTGTGCATAGAAATTGGTCAAAACGTGCTTGTCCAACATCATTTAAAACTGAAAATTCACCAGTATACTTGTGTTAGATAGTCTTAATCAAAAAAAAGATTCCAAAAATTATATATAATTATCATAATTCTAGAATATTCTAGAATATCGATTTTATGTTACCTTTGAATTTCTTTCCTACAAAGATTTGAATCATATAATATTGTTAATAAGTTGATTTACTAGTAATAATGTTATTTTGTATTTATTACAAATTGAAATTGTGGATATATGTTAATGTATTTCTTAATTAATATTTTAAAAAAATTATACTGAAATGGATGATATCGGTTTCTATGTTCAATCGAGAAAAATATATTTGTAACTGTATCATCAGCTCAATTCAGAATTTGTATCGGCATCGACGATACATTTTTTGAAAGTGTATCATTTAACAAATTCTTCTAAAATATGATCATTATTTTAACCCTTATCAGAGAACATGATTAACAATTTTAAATCAAAATGTGAAAAACTGACGAGACGACAATAAATGCTAAATAACAAAATTCCTTAGTCCTTTAATAGAGCATTTTTTAAGCCAAGGACTCTTTGAACACAAGTTCCAGGGGATGGTAGTATTTTAATAGTTCATTTAAAACGATCCGATAAAATTATTTGGCCCTAGCTATCACTATGAATTTCTTGATTAATCTCTTTAATCATTTTAGAGTAAATCATTATAAATGGATTACTTTTGCCTGGGAATATGGATCATGATACATCTTCTAATTCTTCAAAATAGAAGATTATGCAAAAACTGAACAAATATTAGAACCTCGGGGAACAATCATACCCAAAATATCATGTTTTTCAATCAACAAGAGAATTTATTTTATTTTAAAAAAAGAAAGGATTTTCAACTTATAAATATAGAAATGTTGTAAATTGTTACAGCGTGGTCATGTTTCTAACCAAGAATATTCGAATCAATCTACAAGTTAAAACTCAACTTAGTGGCTTAATTCAATTTTTTAAGGGTATAAAAGTTTGATTAATCTGCAATTGAAATAGTCAAGGTTAGCTAATTTAACAAGGCTAGTTATTTTATTTAGATAAGATTATTTTAAATGAAAAATTAGGATCGATAAGAAAGGGTAACCATAATTGACAAAAAATTTTTAGAATAAAACTAGCGTTTCACAAATGTAATTTAAGTGTTTTTTCTAAGAACAAATATAATTTATATATGTATATAATATGGGATTTGATAGTAAAATCCGATGGTATTATGATCTTCGATTTCCTCTGATGATAGCTACCAACAGATCTTGATAATGCCCCGTTACGTCACCCTGGATTTTTTTATAAAACAAAATCCATATAATTATTTTAAAGTGTCAAAGTTTATGATTATACCCTGACAGCTGCCTCCAAGCTCTTTTTGTATAGCTTGTTATATTCTCTTTTAATGTCTTCCAAGTCAATCTCCGATCGAGACGTTATGATTTTGATTAAATCATTATCTTTCGTTCCTAATCCCTATAATAATAAATAAATAAATAAATATAAGATTTAAATGGAGATTGTTGTAACTCTCATATCCTTCCGCAATCTTTTAGCAAAATAGGTGGCTGGATTTCCTGTGACTTTGAATCCTTCATATATATAAACAAACAAAAAAACATAAAGTTAAGTATAGAATTTTATATGTATTCTCACCTAATTTCGCGTTATATTGGGCAGTTGGAGTCATTAAGGCTACCAATAACTTTTCGTAATTGCCTGAGGTATCCCCTTTGATATCTTTGAGTAAATCCCTCTACAAAAATAGTATAATATCATTAAACGATTTAAGCAATAACTGGGATTAAAAGTCTCATGGGGGGGGGGAGTGATTTGTTTTTTTCCCTGTTTTTTTAACGTAATATAGGGCTCAATTCTTGTAAATTATTATCCAATCAAATAAGAATATTAGATTTCTATTATTTGTTTTTTATGAATAGGAATAGTAAATTATTCTATTGGGTTTAATATGCGCATGCAATCCTATTGGAAGATATGATTTACCAATAATGTTATTACAAATTGTTTTTTATAATAACCTCCCAATCATCATATGTATATCAATATTTTGTTGACAGAAAAAACTTTTCAATATCATGTTTTTAACTCAATCGTTTTAAAGTTTTATAAAAAAAAAATAATCTAGTTCATTTCTTTCAATTCAAATCTTAAGTGTTTTAAAAATGGAGTAGGATAAGGAAAGGAAAGGAAAGAAAGAAAGAAAGAAAGAAAGAAAGAAAGAAAGAAAGAAAGAAAGAAAGAAAGAAAGAAAGAAAGAAAGAAAGGCATTTTTTTCACTGCCCCCTCTCCCCCTTACTTTTTTTAAAAAATGTTATAATAAAAACAGGAGTTTTCTTTGTTTTTTATTTGTTTTTTACATTACTAATCAAAAGTTTTGTGTATTGCTGTCTGTAAGCTTCCCTGATTTGCTGTCTTTGAGCATTGCTCCTTCCGGCTACGATACCTATCACTCTTTTATCTTTCGTACCTATTCAATTTTTTTTAAGTTGCATCAATAATGAAGGATGGAAGTAATCTTTAACAAAACATTGACTAGGGAAAAAATACTGGAAGTCTGAAATTTAAAAAATGGCTAACTCGATATTTTAGCCTAGAAAAATATTGTATAAGCCTCGGGATTCGGCTAATAGATGTCTAGACCTATGTGAAATAAAAAAAACTAGAACCAGATGGTCTTTCGGGTGGTGTAATGCTCGGTTCGGTTTAACCCGACCTTTTAACCCCGCTATATATTTATACAAATCTTTAAGGTACTTCTTTCCAGTGCCACCTATGAACAAAATCTTCAGGGGGCTTGAAGCGAATTATTTTTCTGGATAAGATATTGAGTCAGCCGTTTATAAAAATAAATAAATAAATAATAGGGCTTAAATGGGGCTGGGCCGTTTAACAACACCAATTCTTTGCGCAGTAATTTTTAAGACGTAAAGAACAACGAAGCAAGAATAGATAGGAGTTTAGAAATGATGCAAAATTCGATTTGTTAACAGGTTAACAGAGTTGTTAAAGGATCTAGATACAGGTATCTAGATCCAGTATCTATATAAAAATGTGGTATCTGTATCTAGATAGATTTTTGATTAAAATATCTGTATATAGATATTAAGACAATGTATCTGTATCTAGATTCATTTAAAAAGTATCTTTTAACAACTCTGCAGGTTAATAATATCGGTGCCGTTAAATTACCTAACTTTAGTCAGCTATAAAACGGCGTAGCCATGTTGGATATCCGAAATATTCGAATCGATCTTCCGGTTGAGACTCGTGGCACAATTCAATTTTTTAGGCTAAAAGCTCGACTAAGCCACAGTAGAGATGATCAAAGTCAGGTGATTTAACGACACCAGTTAATATAAGTTATTATTCAATAAAAAACAGATCATAATTATTATATCACTTACCGCCTCCTTTAAGCGCGCTCCGCAATACTTTCGCGTCTGCTTGAGCGTTAAAATTCGGAGCGGGCACGATTGTACCCCTACCCTCGGCGGCAAACTTTATTAAGTTATAACGTGTAATAAAAACGCGCGATAAGCCGCGTAATAAGTATATGAATTTATATATATATTACAATTTTTTTGCCTAAAAATTTATTAATTTTAAAAAAATAGTGGCTAAAAAAAAGATTTTTTAGAATACGAAAAATTTCCTATTAACAAAACTTTAATATTGTCAGAATTAATTACGACCGGGTTAGAAGTTTAAAAAAAAATACACAAAATCATAGTTGTTTACAAAAATATATTAAGTAAAAAAAAATAATATAATTTAGATAACACCAAAATGTTTGTAACCTCTTGTCCGTTTAGTATAACGAGGTTTTGAAAGCTAACCAAAAATAGAATAATTAAAGTTGACCCGATGATAGCCATAGCTTTTAAGAAAAAATATTACAAGTTAATTTGAAGAAAAAAAAAGTATGATTTAGAAAGAATTTTTTTTAAAAAAAATTAAAAGTTTTTTGAAGTTATTTATTATCAATATTTTGCCGTTATTTTAAATAAACAAGTTTATCTGTCACTTATTTCTCATTCGAAATTATATTTAAGGGTTTATCCTTTAGGCATAATCTATATATCTTTAAAAATATAATTTTTTTTTAAATATAAATTTTTTCAAGGTTCTATATAAATAAAATTAAATCAACACACTTAATATAATTGAGATGCAAAAAGTTACAATTTTTTTTTAAAAAAAATTTATAGCTGAATAATGTGTATATTAAAGAGATCTTCAAAAGTAGGCTCGACCCGTACCCTGACCAAACGAGTTTCGGGCCGGGCCGGTTTTTTTTAAAAAAACCGGGTTCGAGCTGGATCGGGCCTGATATTTTTTTTTAAAAATTCGGGCCAGGTAGGGTTACGCCTTAAAATTAAAATATATCTAGATTTTATCTATTTTAAATGTTGAATTTTTTATTGTGAAATAAAAATTATTTTTATTTTATTTATAGAAATTGGAAGCCATATAATATATACCGTTATTTTGAGTAATTATAAAAAAAAAAATTAATTTCTATATTTAAATAAATTCGTACCGGGCCGGTTTTTAAAAAAAAATTGGTTTCGGGCCGGGCCGGTTTTTAAAAAAATCGGTTTTGGGCCGGATAAAACTTTTTTAAAAAATTTTGGGTTCGGAAAATTAGGCCCGATGCAGATCACTAGTGAATACATTTAAAAGGTATAAATTAAATTAAGAATTATTTTTTAAATGAATTTAGTTTATTATTTTAGGTCACCCCGAAACTGTCAAATTAAAAATCTCTTTAAAACGGTTATAACGGTAAGCTAACGGATTTTGATAATATTATTTCAGTCGTCGATTTAACAATTATGTTCCATATATTATTTAAAATAACCCGCCATAACTATGTTTTTTTTTATCCGAACCTCCTAAACTTGATACCCATCGGCATTCGTTATTCGTCATTATGTTCAGAACTCAAATGCTTTTTCCAAGGGATTAAAAATATGATATTAATCTTAGAAATATCTATTTGATTTAACCGTTTTCTCGTTATCGATTTCCTGCGACTTAATTATCTTTTACATCTTCACAATTAACTTAAATAAAACCTTCTCCTCTTTGTATATTTAAAATTATATCTAATAATTTCAACAATATAAAAGTATTGTATTGTTGATTGGTGTTAATAACAAAAAAAATAATGATCATCTAAGGCACAAAATAAATTATGAAAATTTCAATCAACATTTAGCTATGGAAAAATTTAATAATAATTAATAAATAATGGACAAATTTATGATGGTCGAAGCAATTATTATAGCAAAAATTTTTAATAACAACAAAAAGACAAACTTAAGACCAAATCAATTATTATAAAAATGATAATTTTATAACAATAACAACAGACCAGCATATGCCAGTCGAAAACAACTATCATATTGTGTCGAACCTGTGATTCAATAACAGTGACAAACTATGCACATAAGAATAACTACAATGCCCACAGAAATATAAAACAACAAGAGGCATACGGCTAGAACACCATTAATTTCGAAGAACTAGAAAATGACAAAAGTTACGACATAAACAAAGATTATGATAAGCATAAATAATTTGAGTGAAGGTCTCGATGACAAAAAGAATAAAACGCTTATGAGGTGATGACTTAAACTCAACGATATAGCGACGACGATGCGCGGAGACAGGTGACGAGATACCCAATCATACCTCATTTTGTAGCTAAACAAAGTAGAGGTATCAAAAATATGAAGAAATTCTCGCATCAAATTAACGGGTTATGACGCGGAACACCGTAAACGTTCTTGGGCATGCGCACATTGATATTAATTACGAAGTCACATTAAAAAAAATCTGGAAGCCTACATTGTGGAGGAGTTACGAAAGGCGCGTTGATTGACAGGGAGGGTTATGGCTTAACGCGTTTAAAAGTATCTTAAAAGAAATTTGTAGGTAATAATGATAATAACTTATAATGATAAACCCTGTGCAACCATTGAAATGTGAGAAAAATGGCATCAGATACTTCGCATGATAAACGTACTTCCTTCCTTCAAAGAAAGAAAGAAAGAAAGAGATATTTTTTTTATAAAATTCAGAATATCTACTATTAAAAAATATATCAGAAATGTTAATTCAACACAAAATAAAATGTTTTAAGATATGAATATTTTTTTTTGAATTTCTTATTCTAAAAGACAAAAAAAAAACCCTTAGTGTTTGAATTTAGCATTTTCTAAGCTAAAAATTCCTTTGGAACAAGTTCCAGGGGATGGGAAGTATTTTTAAAAAAAACGAACATATTTTTTTACGAATCGTTTTAAACTATTTCGCCCTAGTGGTCACTATGAATACAGATTAATTTTTTAATCATTTTTTTAAGAGTCATTACAATGGATTACTTTGGCTTGTATGGGTCACTATACATCTTCTACTTCTTCAAGGTAGATGATTATGCAAAACAGAATGACATGACACAAATGTTAGGACCCTCAGGGAAATCATTCCATCATATCGTGTTTTTAAATCAACAACAGAAGAACCATAAATATATAAATGTTAATAGAAAAAAAAGTAAGTGAATCTGATTGGACTGTGAATTGTTATTAGATTTATATACGATATTTTTAGGGAAAATAGATTGATAAGAAAGGGCCTATAAATATATAACTATTGATTTGACATAAAATAAACACATATGTATATATAATTGGCGTTTCACAAATGTATCAGTGTTTTCTAATTAACAAATATATATATAATATGCTATGATTGATAGAATGTCTAATTTAAGATTTTCGATTTCCTTTAATGACAGCTACCAAAAGATCTTGATATTCTCCAGTTACGTCACCCTAGATTTTTTTATAATTTTTATAAACAAAAATCCATATAAATATATAAAAAGTGTTAAAGTTATGATATACCCTGACAGCTGCCTCTAAACTCTTTTTGAATAGCTTGTTATATTCGCTTTTAATATCTTCCAAGTCTATCTCTGATCTAGACGTTATGATTTCTATTAAATTATTATCTTTCGTTCCTAATCCCTATATAATAAAAAAAATGGAAGAATTTATTAAAAAATTTAAAGAAATTGAGCTTGTGCCTTCAAATCTTTTCCCAATCTTTCAGCAAAATAGGTGGCTGGATTTCCTGTAACTTTAAATCCTTCATATACAAAAAAAAAACAAAATGAAATTAGGGTAGAAATTTTATTTGAATTTTCTAAATTTCACCTAATTTCGCATTGTATTGGGCGCTTGGAGTCAGCAAGGCTACCAATAACTTTTGGTAATTGCCTGTGGTATCTCCTTCTATATCTTTGATTAAATCCCTCTACAAATAATAATATAATATCATTTAAAGGATTGAACAATGAAAAATGAAATGGATTTAAAGCAATAAACCGGGATTTAAAATCCCAGATTGGTGGTGGTGGGAATATGTTTTTTTACCTTGTTTTTCTTTACGTAATCTAGACCTATTCAAAAAAACGGTGATTTGTTTTTTATTTAAAAAACGGTATTGAATAAAATATCCATTTGGGGCCTGCAATCCTAATTGGAAAAATATAATTTAATCAATATTTTCCCAATCATCTTACATATATAATCTCTCAATATTTTGGATTGAAATCAGTTTATAACTCGCCCTTTGAGCAAAATTATTTTTAAACACACTGCACCCCACCCCCGACTTACTTTTATTTTACCAAAGAACCTGCCTGATCGTATTAAATTTTTTTTAACCAAATATTTGAAATAGCCATTATTATCTGTAAAAAATCTTGAATAAATAAAATATATTTTAAAATAATCCGTGTTTATACGAGCCCGGTCGGATAATTTATTTGAAAAAATCCGAACCGGGCTGGGCCATACAAATAGTACCTCTACAGGTCTCTAGAAGAAAAAAAAGGAAAGAGTTTTCATTTTTTTTTGTTTTTTACATCACTTAAAAGTTTTTTGTATTGCTGTTTGTAAGCTTCCCTTATTTGCTGTCTTTGATCATTGTTCCTTCCGGCTATGACATCTATCACTCTTTTATCTTTCGTACCTTTTACAAAAGAACAAAAAAAATTGAAGGAAAAAATGACACATCGACTAGGCAAAAATAAAAATTAAAAATGGAAGGCTTAAAATATGTATCTTTTTACGATTATTTTTATAGAAATAACTAAGCAAAATAGATAAGATAGCAGTTAGAAATGATATGAATTCGATTGTTTTAAGCAAGATGTTGAACATCATAACTAATATTACTTACCCGGTCCTTTAAGCGCACTCCTCAGTATCTCCGCGTCAGCTTGGGGGTTAAAATTTGGAGCGGGTACGATTGTACCCCTACCTCCTGCAAGCTTTATTAAGTTATAAACGTGTAATAGAAATGCGATGCCCATTAAGTCGAATATATAATTAAATCATTATAAGTATATGAATTTACATATACATATATATATATATATATATTCCTAATTTTTTGTATAATTTACTCTTTGAAAAACCATAATCTTATCCCTAAATTAAATAACAAAATATTTGCTATTCAAACTTAATATTCTTTCGCATTTTTTATATTACAAATGAAAATGGCATTACACAATAATGTATAAAGTAAAAAAAAATACTAATAACTACCTAACTTTAGTCAACTATAAAACAGCGTAGCCATGTTTATAATTAAAAAATATTCGAATCAATCTTCAAGTTTAGGCTCGACTTGTGGCTTAATTCAATTTTTTCAGGCTAAAAGCTTAAATAAACCACATTATAGATGGTGAAAGTTAGACAATTTAACAGCACCAAAAAAGTAATATAATATGATGACTCCAAAATTGTTGTAACCTCTTGTCCATTTAGTAGAATGAGGGTTTGAAAGCTTAGCAAGAAGAAGAGAATAGTCAAATTTGACCAGATCATAGCCATATCACTTTTAAAAAAAAATATTATATTCATTATAAAACTTAGTTTCTTCAATTCGAAGAAAATAAAAAATTTAGAAAGGATAAAAAAATTAATTTGCCGTTAGTTTAATAAACAAAGTTATCTGTCATTATATTTTCAGTTTAAATTTTATTTAGGGTTTAATCCTTACGGCGTATATATATACATATATATCTTTAAATTTGTGCAAATTAAAACTATTTTTAAATTTTTATATATAAATTTTCAAGGTTATATTTGTAAATAAATAAAATTTGTTTACAATAATTGTTCTTATTGTTCATAATTCATAATTAAATTGAATTGAATCATATTAAAACTTTAAAATATACTAAACCTATAATACGATTAAAGTAAGTTCTCATTCTTTTTAAATTTGATCTAACGAAATTAAAAACTGGGATATAATTTTATTTATTGAAATATAGAAACGAAATTATTTCAAATTATAATAATTAGTATAATATTTGGGCCATCCCTGCAATCGTTCTTTAGAAGTTTAAGAATTTTTGATATTATTATTCAATCGACTTTATACAAAAGCGTTTATAATTTATTAAAAATACAGCTATTTTTTATCTGAAACCCTAAACTTGATCCCAATCGGGAACGTTAGGATTCAGATCCCTGGTTTGAATTTAATATTCGATATTTTTTATATAAATTAAAAAAACCGTAATAATTGTAAACAAATATTTTTAATCTATTATAACACACATCTCTTATTTTCACAAACAATTCTTTTATTAGATTGGTAATAAAGCAGTTTATAAGTTATTATTGTATCCATATAAACATTTTATTAGTGTGTGTGTATAAATTCTTGGACCACTTTAAAAGGGTGTTGTACTAAAATGGAATAAGTAAGCATTTGGTAGGATAAATACATACAAGATATATATAGTATATAAATATGTGGGAATGGTTATACCAGAACATAAACCAATTTAGCCCTATTATTCTCATCATATTTTATTTGTGCCTCATTCAATTACCCCTTCTTTAAAAATGAATCAAGATGCTAAAATCTTCTTTTAGACTTTATATTTATATATAATCTATATAAGATTGGTATCGTCATCTTCCAATGGAAAAATATGTCAAAATTTGATTATATCCAGTCGATATTATACATAACGAGCATTATGGGAAAATGTATAAATTTAAAAGTGCCAAAAGGAATCCCGGAAAAAAACCTCTGGAAAAAACTCCAGGAAAAAAAACCCAAAATTTTTTTTTGAATTTACTTAAGATCTAATAATATCTGTATATTTTTATTTGGATTTAATAAGGTATAGACAAATTAGTATTTTAGAAATAAATATTATAAAAATATAATTTAATAATAAATTATATACGTAATAATGATTTATCAATAAAATAAACAGATCTTATTGCAAATTTTGACAAATTTAATCTATTTAATAGTATTTATTACAATAGCAAAATTTTTTACGAAATAAGTAATACATGGGTTATTTTACTAGGATATTTTTTTTCCCAATACATGCATTTTTTCTTGTTTAAGCACTGCGAATTTCTTTTCGGTGTCTAACTATCTACACGCCATCGTTCAAGTTTGATTTCATCGGCAGCCACATCGCATTTTAGTTTAAATCAACCCAGATTGATGGGTGTTTATTCCCAATCAGATTAGAAAAACGATGATTCGAACCTTTGCATTGATTATTTATGAGTTATTCGTTGGATAAAGTGCTCTGATTCAAGTTTCTGAAGGAAATCGAAGCCCAATCCGACCTGGTCTGGGATTGAGAATTGCTTCTTGTGATCTCCCTTGATACTCCATTGATGCAATTTTAATCGAAATATTCAAGAATATCCTTACCATTGCTCGGAGTAACCGATCTAAGGAATGCCATTGCAATGCCCATATCACATAAAGGAATTGGAAAAATAAATATAAATAATTTAACTTATTAATAATCATACCAATGACAGTTTTAACCGCCTCATAGCAGACTTTTCGAAATCCATGTATATATATAATGGATCAGCAGGAATTAAATCCCGTTTTTGACATTTAGACATTATTATTTCGAATATTTTTTGTAATTTTGTGTTTTTTTTTGGAGTTTAATAGCTGTTAAATGATTGTGGCTCGCATTCAGCAGGATCAGAAAAAGTGAGAGAGATTAACAATGACTTAAAGCAAAAATGGAAAGAAAATAATAAATTGAGAAAAAAATTTAAGAAAAATTGACAAGAAAATTTTTTAAAAAATAACGATTCTTTTTTAAATTTTTTGTTTTTTGGGGTTTTTTTTCCTTAAGGTTTTTTTCCGGGGGTTTTTTTTCCTATTACCGCCAAAAAGATATAAAAAAATTTTTTTAATATCTTTAAGAATTATTTTTAAGTTTGTTAAGAAAAAAATTATTTTTCGATTGGTTGGTTATTAATGGGAGCTATCAGTGTTGTAGCTGTCAATTTGTAAATTGACATTTATGGACATTTAGTCAATATATTTTTCTAGAAGATTATAATGCGATTTCAATTTTCTCTGTTGAACATTAGATCATATTGAAATGAAATATTGGGTTGTAATGTAATGGATCTGGGTAATAGTGTAATAGAATATTACATCCACTCTATCAATTATCACTTCAAATTAATTTCAAAAAATGTCCACCATTTTGCTAAATACAGATTTTTCTTCAAAACAGATGTGAAATTTAAGATAATTTTTAAGACTTAAACAATATGTTATGTTTTATATCTGTTATAACAGGCTATATTCTGTTAATTTAACTTAATTATACCCGGATAAGAAAAATATGTTTGAGTTTTAACTAAAGAAAATAAGTATTAGGCTAAGATTAAATCAGGATGTATTAGAAAGGAATTATAACTTGTTCCCAATTACATTTAGGTTCAATGCTCAGAACATGCTTCCTTTTCCAAAGGATTTAAAAATATAACTATAAGAATTTTTTAATCTAAAATATCTATTCGATTCAATGTTTATCGTTGTGGATTCAAACACTTAATTTTTTTTTTAAACTAATTTATTAATTAACTTTTATAACTTTACAAGGTCATTTTTAATAAAAAAATTAATTTTAAATTTAACCTTCCTTATTTTAAATTAAAATTATTTAATTAAAAAAAATAATGTTTACTTTTTTTTTTGTAACTATACCTTATCTCAATGCCGTTTTCTTGGGAGATGAAATTTTCAAAAAAATATTATTATTTATACTTTAACAAATTGTTAAAAGAAACGCGTTACTTGCAAAAGTAACGAAATGACAATCCCTACTTTTCCTATAAAAAAATTTCGATATTTAATGACCGTTACTAACTTTCATCGAGTTACTTTATGGCACTAATATTATACCATATTTATAAATAGATTAATTTGGGGATGGGGGGGGGGGAGTGATAGCAATGGAGATAAGTATAGGATTATTTCTTTTATGTTTCTCGCAAAAATTGGGGTTAAATGGTTAATAAATATATAGCATCCATACTCCCACCCAGGCTATGGCGGAGTTTATTAGACTAGGGGGTAACTATATAATTTAGTCTTTTTTGCAACTTATTCAACTTAGCTTTTGAAGTGGGCCAATTTCATCTATATCCCAGCAATCTACTAAATGTATATATATACTTTTATCCTCTTGAACAGGAGCGGACTGGCCATAAGACCCGGTGGGCATTTTGCCCACGAGGCCGCGAGAAAATGTAGATTTTTGAGGCTGATCAGTGGAAAATATCAAAATAGAGGCCGATTAGAAAAAAATTATTATTATGTTCACGTTATTTTCTCTTATCATTTATTTTTTAATGATATCTCTATGATTTGAATATCACATTCCTTGAGAATTGTCATGTCGTTTATACTATATTTTAATGCATAATATATCAATAACATCGCTTGACGCTACACATCATTACTAAAGAAGACGTCATATTTATTCATAAAAATATCTAAAGATTATAAACTATTAAGTAATATAAAACAGTTATCAAATATAATAATAATTATCATAAACTATCCAGCTTCCATATATTCTTCACCCCAAAAGACACCTAAAGAATGCTCCATTGTTTCTCACCAACCCACGTGATGATCACGTTTTTTTCTTCTCAACCAAGGAAAAACTTAATTTCACTGTCAGAAAATAACTGACATTTTATGCATTATATTAAATTTATTCCTTCTTTTTTTCAACAGCTACAACAATTACCACGTTCTTTTCTTTGTTTTTTTTTCAAATGAAGTGAAAACGCTTCCGGTTGAGTAGAGTGAAAGCTAAGTTTTGATAAATTTATTATATTATATTTTTATACATTGATTTATTGTAGAAATAATATAGCCAACATTTCTTGTTCTTAATTCATTGAAATCAAATAAAATCCAGGTCGGTGAATCAGATAAAAGGATGGATGCTTGGGTGAAACAGAATAATACATTTGGCCAAAATAAGTTGAGAAGGCTGCAAAAAATAGGTTAGATGATGGGCACGTGAAAAAGCCCTTAGAGGATATATGGTAATGAGAGCTTGCTCTCAATAACGATAAATACACTTTAATTTATAGTAGATAATAAATCATTTGAGACAAAAACTTGATAATTTATGTAAATTTAAGATTCTAAGTACAGCTATAATATATTTGGAAATTTTTGAAATAGGGCCACTGTCATATCTTCAAACAAAAAATTAGGTACTTTGTAAGCATGAAAAATGAAAGAAGATGCTAAATCTTCTGTATCATCGATACATACATCGATTTAAAATAAAGCAATAAAATGGCTAAATGAAACATTTCCATATTTATAGCTCCCGGAGAGTATCTGAGTACAAAATGCTCTGTAAAAAGATCGAATAGGGCGAGCGAAATGCCAAGTGAACGTCCTCAAGAATCAATTTAACCTTTATAGGTTCGAACTATTTCGTCCTATAATTGATCAAATTATAAACAGCTTGTCGGAACTACTTTCTGCGAATTGAGAGCTTATCTTGAATATGCAATATTTGCTTCCAAGACATTTGATGAAATAAATAGTAAAGGTATTTCTGAAAAGGCTTTGGAAAAACTGGCATAATTGGCATATATATTGAGTGTTAAATTTCATAACGAAGTATGTTCATTTGCCAGTGTATTCAAAGATTTGGTAGCCGAATTAAATGAAACGGAGAAGGATATCGCATGTAAAAGTGAAGAGACAAATGAAGAAGATGGAATATTACAATATGATAATAAATCAGAGTGTGATAATAAATGTAACAAGTGTTTAATATGCATGTAAGAAATTCTTAAAAGATATGTATGCATACAAGTGACACTAATATTTTTTTGGCATATGAATACATTTTATTTATCATTAAGGCAGGTTAATTGCGAGAAAGCATTTAGTAAATTAAAAATTATAAAAATAATCTGAGAGCTAGTATTGACCAAGAAAAATTAGAAGCGTTCTTAATGATGTCAGTTGAACGAACAACGTAGATTGAACTAGAAGATATTCCTGCGCAAAGGTTCAAAGTTAATGAGAGATTTATAAGCGTAAAAATTATATATTTTCTTAATTCTTTAATTAGAATCTTATTAATATTAGTTACAATATGATCGGTGCCTGATTTTATAAAAGTGCAGCAATTCTATTCTCTGTGATATTGTATAGCTGCAATAATTTTATATTTATAATTAATTGATTTTATATATTGAGTATATGCATTTTTTTAAAATATTTAACAGGTGATGTATGATTTGAATTTATAGTGTAACATCGTTGTAAATCTAATATAATATATATATAAAGAAGCCATTTAATGTAACCCGGTCGAAGACCGGCCAAACTAAATGGGGGTATGAGGGTTTCGCCCTCATACAAATGAGGCCGCTATAAAAAAATGCCCACGAGGCCGTAGCGTCGCCAGTCCGCCCCTGCTCTTAAAACATAAATTACTTATTATAATATATGTTAAACACTTCTTTCGTATACAAACATTCAACAAAAATTTAGAAAAACAGCATTGTAAACACAAAGTCCGTATATATATAATTGTTAAAATCATTGTGTTAATAAACAAAAAATGTCAAATAAGATTAGATGAAAGGTCTTTTGTTCTGTTAAATCTAGATTTTATTAGACAAAAATATTTGGCTAAACTTTTGAAGTATTACCCGTCAATAAATAATTTTTACCGTCAAAATGTCTGCAAAAAATTGATTACCCATTCTTACCTCTAGCAAAAATTATCTTTGTGTTAATTATCCCAAAAACGAAATATAATTATTTTAATTAATTAAAAACTATAATTTTCTAAAAATGGTGGTTATAAACTTTTAAAAACAAATTATTAAAATATGAGGCATATTTTTTAAAAAAAATTGATTTCATGCAAGCCTGGTCATTTTATTAGATAAGTTAATAACAAATAATTTATTTCTCTAATAATTTTAGCTTTAAATTATAAACATATTTATTTTAAAGGGCAAATTTAATTTTTTAAATCATTTAATTTACCTTACATATTTAATAATAATAAAAATTGATATATAATTTTTTATAAATATAATTAAACCAAAACTTGGGAATTAATTTTTTAAAACTATAAATGGATATATCTTATTTCAAGTGGCTCCTATTGGCTCCCCTACTTATAGGCCTCCAGAGTTCTACGGCAAACAATGCCAGCAATAACGCTTCTACTTATCGAGGTAATATACATTTTATACCTATATAATAGGCCTATTCAAAAATGAATTCGAATCGAATAGTACATTATTCATATAACGAATCGAATAATTTACTATTTGAATTCGTACGAATAATAAAATCTACGATTTGTATTCGATTCGAATTATTCGAATATTTGGAATTAATTTTTTTAATAAAATAAATCATGCTCAAATATATTGGTAAATTTTTTTATTACAAATTTGATTTTAAACAGAAAAAATTATAATAATATGTAATCAATAATCTGATAATAAATAATATAATAATCAAGTTATAAACAAAATTAAAATGTATATTATTAATTTAATTTATAATTTAAGCCAATTTTTAAGGCAAATAGTTTTTCTTATATTTTCTTCCTTATATGACATGCGGTTTTTTAACAATAAATTATATCCAACTGAGAAAAGCCTTTCACAAGCAGTTGATGTTCCTTGGATAGATAGATAATCCCTTGCCATTTTCGAGAGCATGGGGATCCGATATGCATTTGCTTTCCACCACATTAACGGGTCAGTATCACTCTTTGCTCTTGGTTCACTCAGATAAAAATCTATTTCACACAGTTGAATATTATTTTGTTTAAAACAATGTCTAGCCTGTTTCGTTGAATTTTATCCTTATTTGTTTGACAGTTATAATTATGAGCTTATAAAATATAATCATATTTAAATGGTGGTAAATTAAATACCTGTATATCTATTGTCTCTTTAAATTTGTCCATTAACTTGGATATATCAATATCATAATCAACAGATATTGATTTAAAAGTCTGGGATCCAAGATTGTGGTTATTATTGCATCATCGGCAGTTAAATTATAATAGCCCAACAATTTATCACATGCTACTTTGAAACTATTGTTAAAGGATTTATGGAAACCAGGTTTTTCATTTTTTAGATGTTCAAGAATTAAAATATAATAAGGTATAACCAAATTATAAGTAGGATAATTCTCCCCTCACACCAAATTTGTAGTTTCATATGAAGGCAATAGGATAGCTTTAATTTTTACAAGATCCTTTCTTCCTATATGTTATCAAAGTATTATATTATTACCTAATTATAAATTTTAGTTTACCTCTGATATTTGTTTTTCTTGAAGAATTTTAATATTAGTTATTACTTCATTAACTAATATTGTTATAGCAGGCTTTAACAATAAGACCCTTTCAATCATTTGGTAGGTACTATTCCACCTTATTTCACAATCTAATTCTGGTTTTAAAAAATTTAGGGGGAGGGTGTATAGAACTACATATATTTTTTAATAAATTTAATTTTTTAGGGGAATTACGAATCATTCTAATAATGTTTCTTAGTTTTAGAATTGAAGGATCTAAAATTTTTAAAATTTCTTTGGATATTAAATTAATTACATTCGGATGTTCCCTATTTTTATCAATGGATATTTTAAAGAAAATGTATCAATAAATGTTTTATTATTAGTTGCAATATCTAAAGTTATATAAAAATATTTTATTCTCTAAATTATAATTTTTAATTATTTTGACAAAGGCTTTAAATATATTTCCACCTTGTTTCATTTATTGGACTGACATCCAAAATTATGTTATTTATTTTAAAATTATCATCAATAAAATGGGCTGTTTGCCCTAAAAAAGGAACCTGTGTTAAGCTAGTCCATATGTCAGATGAAAAATTAATCTGGCTTTTATTTTTAGATATTATTTTCTTTACCAACTGTTCTTTTTCTGCAAATGTATTATACATGTGCAATTTAAGAGTATTGGAGCATATTGATTTTACAGAACAATCAAGATCACTTATAAAATTTTTAAAATCATTAGAATTAATAATTTTAAAAGGAATATTATGATTTATAAATAATTTTAATAAATTATCCTTAAAATTAATTTTTTTTGAAGAATTTGGTGTAGACTTTAAAAAAATGTCAATTTTATTATTATTTTTTTTACTAAGGTGTGAATGAAACCTGTTGTAATGATTAATAAGAGGAGATGTTGTTTTGCCTTTACCCTTTATAATACTCTTGCAATGATTGCAAGCAGCCTTTTCACCGTCTTTAAGGATTTGATATTGATCCCATATGATTGCTCTCTTTTGTGAGGAAATTTTCTCATCTTCAACAACAAGCATAATTTCGTCAGAAGCATTCTCCTCTAACATAATTAGGCTAGCTAACTATAATTATTGTAGAGATGTAATATATTTTTATATATCTCTGGTGTGTGTAATTTTTAATATAATTTATTATGAGATTCAAAAAATAAACTTTTCGTGAGATTCAAAAAATGTGGCAAATAAAATTTTTTTAAATTTGTGCTAGAATTTTTATAAACACAAATGCATCAACTGTCAGATTGGCTGATCAACAAATAGAAATGACAAATGTTAGATTTATTAAACAATTTATTAAATATTACGAATAATTCGTTTTATTCGAATCGAATAAATGATTATTCGTATTCAGATAAAACAAATAATTTATTATTCGTATTCGTAATTATTCAATTAGATTCGAATTATTCGAATCGAATCGAATATTCGAAATCTTTTTATATAATAAGAAACCCATCCTTTCTCGGAGCCATGCGATGCTGTCATTGAGCATAGCATATCTTGGGATATATCAGCGTTCGAGTCTGGCAGGAATAGAAAAAGAAATCAATAAGACATCAGCGTTGAATTTCGAAACTAACCGTGTTCTTTAAAAAAAATCCACCCAAAGATGGATGAATTATCTTTTCATCATCTACGAATTCTTATTTTATTAAAATCATTTTTTACAAAATACAGAAATTGAATGTAAAATTGTTTTGAGGAACAGCCCCAAAAAAAAACTTCTAAGAAATAAATTGGGGTTGGGCTTGAAAATACATGTTTTTATTCTACGAATAAAAGATGTAAATTCTGTTTTTTTCAAAAAATAATGTGTTTTTTTTGTTAAACTTTAAAATGATTGTTTAGGCGGGTTTTTTTTTTAAATTTAAAATTCTAATTTTACCGGAAATATATCAAAATCATGTTTTAGAAAATCTAACATATGAATTTCTGACAATTTTTGCTAAGAACTTGTTCATATTTTTTGCATAAATTTATTTATACAATTTTAAAATGTTTAAAAAAATTTACACGAAAAAAAAAATATTTGTATACAAAATTCATAAAATTTTGGCAATAAATTTTCGGTAAAATTGCTAGTATTTTTAAACGGCTCGTTTCGAGCCATTTTTTAAAAACGGCTAACTCAATATTTTATCCGAAAGAAAGAGAGAAGAGAAAGAAAGAAAGAAAGAAAGAAAGAAAGAAAGAAAGAAAGAAAGAAAGAAAGAAAGAAAGAAAGAAAGAAAGAAAGAAAGAAAGAAAGAAAGAAAGAAAGAAAGAAAGAAAGAATATTATGCGAACCTAAAGATTTTCAAAGATGACGCATAGGATTGAACATCTGTTGGCGAAACCTCGATGCTTAGGCCATATTTTCCTGGCTCTAATGTTGAGTTAGCCGTTTTTAAAAATCGGCTCAAATAGAACCGTTTAACAACATCGAGTAAAATCAGATATTTTTTTTCAAGGTTGAACAAAAAAAAACACATCGTCGGGAAAAAAAACACATTGATATAAAACTTCGTTCATTTGGTAAATCGAAGTGTGTTTTTTTTAAAAAAAATATTAATTTCCTAAATTCAATATCCGTTTCAAATTAACCCTTTAGCGCCCGGAATATTTCCCATGAACAAAAAATACTTGTACTTTGATATAATTAAATAATGATTTTGACATTTTGATATAATAAAATTTGACAGGTTAATGATAAAATACGAAATAATAAATATTGTTTTATAAATTAATATATCTAAGAACCAACCATTAGTTTCTTTAAATATAAAAATTAATTGATTAAAAATTTTGATGACAAATGATCTTGCTGGGCGCGATAGGGTTAATGCCTTTTTGATTTAAAAAAAACTTAAATACTATTTTATAGGAGCCTTCTATAGACAGCAGCATCTAACATGGTTTCAAGGAAGAAGTCTACAAATGACTCCATTCTTCGAATCCCATCTAAAAAATTATTCCTTCATTATAAGCAGCGCTAGGCACCCCGAACAATGTATATCAAGCATATTATTCAATGATTCAAATAAGATAGACTTTCGTTAATATTTTAAATCTGTACAATTATATTTTTAAAAGGTAAATTCATATTGGTGCCATAACCAAACTGATTTGTAATCAGTTAGATCGGCACTTCATTTATATTTTTTATTTTACACCCAATGTATTAAGATGCAACTATCTTTATGTCATAATAATTATCGAAAGCTTATCTTACACTAAACTTGTTATAAAAAAAATCCTCATTTTAATTTGATAGACAGTTGCAATTTATTACTAGCAGAGTGTCGAACCGATCACCAAAACCGGAAGAAGGCCTTTAAATTTTCAAATCCTCATAAGAATTTTGAAAAATAGGGAGAACTTATCCGTTGTGAATACAAACTCATTCATAAAAAGGTTAGGATCATATGTATTTTTTTGAATTCCATAATTTTTTTTTTTTAAATATTAACGGCATAATTCAGAAATACAAAAAATTTCGAATATTAAATTCTGGCTAAAAAAAAAATTTTTGTGGAAATAATTTATTTTTTGAATTTTATTATAGAAAATAAATAATATATATAATATTTTTATTTCCGGATTCATGTAGAGAGACAGTTGAGAGATGATTCTGTTGCAACTTGGATATTTAATATGACTCCTAATGCTGAAAGAGATGCACCCGTATTACACGAGCTAATATTATTTGTAGATATCTCAAAAATACCAATAATAAAGGAGGAAAATTTTAGCTTCGAAGTGTGAATAAATATATATCCGCAAGTAAAAATTTATGTTCTTGTGAAACATTGAAATTATAAAATTTTTTTTATATAAATTTAATCGACTTTGTAATAGAATTATATACATACAATATAAGATATATGTGAGGAAATTAATACAATGTTAGAATAGGGCTGAGATAGAACCTCACCTAAAACCCGGCTAAAAATATTATAATGTAATGTAATGTAATAGAAATATATATATTATATTTATATTCCAGAATAATAGTCTCAAATCATCTTATCACGAGTATAATGTAACGGATATAAAAGTTGAAAGGAATTGCATAGTGATAAACCTACAAACCTTATTAGAACAGATCCAAAATTTATAAGACAAATCAAACGAACAAGCTTATAAAATTGTCAATTCCTTCAAAGAAAATAACAATGGCAAACGACTCATTTTGTCTTGGAGCAGATACAGAGCTCTTGATTGTCATTCATTACAATATTGATATAAAGTATGGAATTTGCTTATGTTACAAATAAATTTTTTACTTTAAGTTACATTATTATTACTTTCAGAAATTTTTGTAAATTTTTATTATTATATTTTTTATATAATCTAAAAAAAATTTTAAATAAATTTAATTTCCATATAAATATAACTAAATACGAAATATCTATGAAACCAAGCTTAAAACTTGAAATATAATTTTTATTTAAATAAAGTGATTATACATTTGTTTAAAAAAAATATATATATTTCTAAAAGTGTATAATAAATGTTTTATAACACATTTTGATATATAAATATATAGATCTCATATAAGAGATAAACAGATACCGTATAGGGGTAAAATGGTCCAAAAACGTACCGATCCCGAAACACGTGAATTCGATTTGGAGCCTTATCCTTTGAACAAAAATTTTTACTCCTATAACCAGGCTAAGTCAGTGGCTTGCGGGTTAAAGTTGATCAAGATAACCTGGCATAGCGAAGTATTATCCAATTATTTGCATCCCAATCCTCTTACCATCAATAGATGCATAGGTAAAAAAAAATTTTATTAATCTTTTTACGATATTTGTCCAATTTAGATTATAATTTACCTATTATACAAAATACATAAACTGCTCATTGAGTATTGATTAAGAAGTCATAAGCCTAAATCTGACGATGGAACAATTCATACGTCTAAACAATAATAAAAGCTCAATAAAAAAGCTTCTAAAAATCAAATCCGAATACCTACACCCTCCAAATCTCTCAGCCCCCCCCCCCTCTGTAGCATAAGAACCACCTTCCTCCCGCCATGGTAAACATACATTTATTTATTTATAAAACTCTTCATGTACCTAACCTTGATATAACTATCCAAAATATACTTAACTTATACTATAACCCCTCTAATCTAATATTCTTAAGTAGTAAGGCAGGTTTATTAACAAAATATATCATATTTATATTAAATAAACAAATTCAATATAGACCATAAACTTAAATTTACCAATACCCCTCCCTATAATATACATTCTTAATCGGGTATGGGCTTTCCTCTCTCATCTCCCGTAGGCGTTTAAGCAAGTGGTTTCGCCTCTTGCGCAGGTAACTGCAGCCTGCCCAAAAATTGTGGATGGGCTCATCTCATAGGCTACCCCCAAATTTTTTAACCCAATTAGATGGGACGAGATAGTCCAAGCGTAGCTCTGCTGTTTCATATAGCGATAAAGGGCGATTGCGCTTATTATGACATACGTATTGCTTATAGAAAAATATAATATATAAATTATTACATACAAATTACACATCAAAATGTACTATTACTAATTGTCAAATAGATATGAAAGGCCATCATAGGAATTGAGCGTCACATAAAAAGAAACCACCTTCTGGAATTCTATAAAAATTAATATCACAATAAAAGCCTAATAAAATAATAAAAGTTTTATGTAACCGGGTTACTTCTAAGGCGGACCAATTAAATGTTAATGGTTTTAAAATAATTCTTGATCCTCATTAGAAGGTATGGGTAATATGAAAATTAATTTTCAAAATAATCTAATGTTACAGAATTAGCCTTAAATATTGCAAAATATGATCAAAGAAATAAATGGTTAACTCCTAAAATTGGTTCTGTTACTCGTCTAGACAGGTCCATTATTGGGATTAATCTACAGTATAATCAAAAAGCAAATCTGAGAACACTAGTAATGAAAGAAAGCTAAAGGCCAACTGATGAAAATTTAAAATTCCTTTTAATAAAAGTATTAAATGATTATAAAATCAAAACATCACAAATATAGACTTAACTGACAATATGGCAAATCTTATTAAGATGGTTTATTTAAGAAGGATAGTGATGTTGACAATGTCTGAAAATGATGAAGTATAAATACAAATAATAGATAATTAATAATGTTTCTACTAGTTTCACAAATATACCTGAGGAATTAACAATCAATCATACCTTACAATTAGTGGTAGCTTATGCATTAATAAATTGCTCAGTTTTCTAATAAAAGCTTGTACTGCCTGCAAGAAATTATAAATTTAAATGTACCAATTTGATTCATTAAAAATTTTGTAATATTTTAGAGCAATAAAATATTTAAAATTATATTGGCATTTTAATTTATAAACAAAATGAGAAGTTTGATGCATATATTGTATCTTAAAAATTATAATTTCTTTTCTATATTATCTAAATTAAATTGCATAACATCTTATTAATATTTTAAAACAATATTACAATTGCAAAATTTATAGAAGAAGGTCCAGAGTCGATATCCTCGATGATCAATCCTATTCGAGAAGATGCTGATTTTGGTTAATCAAAATTTTGTTAATATATTTTCTTTTTAATTTTATCATAGTTAATCAAAATTTTGTTAATATATTTTCTTTTAAATTTTATCATAATTAATCAAAAATATATTTTTCCTTAAGAATCGATGGGTAGAAATGAAGAGATTGTGACTTCTGTGATTAATCATGAACAAGATGATGGAGAGGATGATCTCCATGTTTTACCATTTTTGGACGAAAGTTTTATAGATGAAGAAGTTGTAATCGATATCTCCATTGCAGCTGATAGCTCTGTAACTTTACCAATATCAGTTAATAACATTCAATTCTCATATTTAAATGTAGAACAGCCATATAATTTTATTCTTTCCCCAAAAAAACGTAATTTGTTATATTCAAATAAATTTCTATATGTTCATCATAAATTTGGAATTTTATTTAAATGTAGACTAAGTCATTGTACGGCAAGAGGTACATTATTAAATATGCAGTTTACATTGACACATATTCACAACCATCCTTCTGAATCTGAGGAAGAGCATTATGCAATTTTAGTAACTATGAATAAACTTAAAGAACAAATTCGAGCGTACCCCTATCAAAGCAAACGTAAAACATATAATCAAGTTATGCGTATTAGAAAAATGGATCCTCTCGTTCAACTCTATTCTAATGCTCTACCAACATTTCTATCTGTCAAAACTATTATGAATCGTGTTATTAAATCATTGAGACCACCTTTGCCTCTTATAAATTCTGATATCCGATTATACGGGGATTATAAATTAACACTTGATAATAAGACTTTTTTTAATTTGTAATGAAAATAATGAATTATTAATATTTTCTACACATGAACTACTTGAAAGTCTCTGTAATGCCGACCAAATTTTGATGGACGGCACATTTTTTTCGTGTCCTATATTATTTAAGCAATTATACACTATTCATATAATGATTAATCATACAATAATTCCTTGCGCATATATATTATTGCCAAATAAAAATAAAGAAACGTATCTAAAAATGTTGAATCTTTTAAAAAACTATTGCCGATCTATAGGTTTTTCCTTTTCTCCTTCTAAAGCACTTATAGATTTCGAAATGGGAGCACTTACAGCACTCGAAGAAATTTTTCCAACCATTTCTGTCAAGGGATGCTACTTTCATTATTGTCAATGTATTTTAAGACGAATACAGGGTAATAGGTTGACAGCATATAGTCGTCTTAATCCTGATTTTATGAGATTTTATCGCAGACTAATGGCGATACCTTTCTTAACCGAAATCGACATACCATTGGTACTGTCAGAATTAAATAATGAAGTAGAGGCCTTTAATTTAGATCCCATAAGAGATCTCTTTACATACTTTAAAAGTACTTGGATTAACCCAAACGCTAAATTTAAATATAAGATGTGGAACATGTATGATGTTCAAGGTGTTAGAACAAATAACCATGTTGAGGGATTTCATCGTTCTTTAAAAGAGTATATAACATATTCTCATCCTAATTTATATCTTTTTATTGATATATTAAAACAAATACAACAAGATATGGATATAAAATTTATCCAATTGCGTAATGGGAAAAAAGTTACCGAAAGAAAAAAAAAATACTGTATAATAGACGAGAAAATCAGACAAGAAACATTTTTATATTACACTACTTATACACCAATGCAGTATTTAGATAAAATATCAAGATATTTAATATCGAAAAAAAATAATGATATACCTGCTGACTAGATTATTTTTCATTTAATTTTTTTTTTCGATATTAAATATCTTATCCAAGATATGCGAAAATAAAGATTTTAATTCACAGAAATATCTTCGTAGAATATTTGATTTTTTGACTTTCTAAATACTACTAAGGTGTATAGGTAGTGTAATATAAAAATATTTCTTGTCTATTTTGCAGTATTTTTTTTTCTCTCGGTAACTTTTTTCCCATTTATTTGTTTTAACATATCAATAAAAATATATAAATTAGGATAAGTAACAATAAGTAATATACACTTATAGAACGATGAAATCCTTCAACATGGTTATTTGTTCTTACACCTTGAACATCATACATGTTCCACATCTTATATTTAAATTTAGCGTTTGGGTTAATCCAAGTACTTTTAAAGTATGTAAAGAGATCTCTTATGGGATCTAAATTAAAGGCCTCTACTTCATTATTTAATTCTGACAATACCAATGGTATGTCGATTTCGGTTAAGAAAGGTATCGCCATTAGTCTGCGATAAAATCTCTTAAAATCAGGATTAAGAATTCTATATGCTGTCAACCTCTTACCCTGTATTCGTCTTAAAATACATTGACCATAATGAAAATAGCAGGTTGGAAATATTTATTCGAGTTTGTAAGTACTCTCAATTAAAAATCTATAATGGCTTGGAGAAAAGAAAATACCTATAGATCGACAATGGTTATTTTTAGAATTCTTTATTTTTATTTGGCAATAATATATACGCGCAAAGAATTATTGTATGAATAGTGTATAATTGCTTAAATAATATAGGACACGAAAAAAATGTGCCGCCCATCAAAATTTGGTCGGCATTACAGAGACTTTCAAGTAGTTCATGTGTAGAAAATATTAATAATTCATTATTTTCATTACAAATTAAAAAAAGTCTTATTATCAAGTATTAATTTATAATCGGATATCAGAATTTATGAAAGGCAAAGGTGGTCTCAATGATTTAATAACACGATTCATAATAGTTTTGACAGATAGAAATGTTGGTAGAGCATTAGAATAGAGTTGAACGAGAGGATCCATTTTTCTAATACGCATAACTTGATTATATGTTTTGATAGTTGTAAGCTCTAATTTGTTCTTTAAGTTTATTCATAGTTACTAAAATATAATTCTCTTCTTAATATTCATCAGGCTGGTTGTGAATATGTGTCAATGTAAACTTCATATTTAATAATATTCCGATAATAGTTTTCACAGAAAGAAATGTTGTTATAGCATTGAAATGGAGTTGAACACTTTTGCTTAGATAAAGTATGTTAGATATTAACTTGCATATTCACATTCAACAGATTCAATTGTTATGCATATATTTTTATTAAAAATCGTAAAAAACGTTAAATTATAAAGGTTGAAATTATTATTTTTGGGGAAAAGTAAAATTATATGACTGAATCGATATTTACATTGTGGATGTATGTTGTTTTATTTGTGAGGAAAAGATTGGTGAAATCGATTACATCTTTTTCATCCATAAAATTTTTGTCTAGTTTTTTTCAATATGTTATAGTTCGACAATTAATTTTTACATTACAAATAGAATCTGAATGTCATATTATTTATAATTAAATATTATATTTTATTATAGGATATTTGTAGCTTTTTAATTTTTTGTCATATAAATTGAGAATTTTTGAAAATATATTTTAAAATAAAACTTTATTATTCATATTTTTTGTATCATGTCTAAATATATGGAAGGAGATAATTTATAAAAGAAATGTAGAATATAAATATAATCATTATTATATTCATAAAATCAATTTCACATTTTTAACTTAAAACAATCGATTAATTAATTATTAGACTTTTCACATGTCTTGGTCAATAATAGGTATAAAAATTATAAAATCTGATTACTTTAAAAAATATAGACTTAGAATTTAAATAAATATGTAATTGAAACTTACCTAATCTTAACAATTTAATAGATTAGAAATAATTAAACACTTTTGATTTAGATTTTATTAAAAAATAATTACTTAATGTGATTTGCTGGATGATGTTAACTTTTCAAAATTTAGTTATCCACAGTTAAAGATCTTGATAAATATATGCACATTTCACTATCAATGTAAAGTTTAACATAGCTTCGAATCTGAAGGGTTCAGAAATTTAAAATGGTTTGGTTGGATATTTTCAGAAGACAAAGCCTAAAGACCTAAAATACAATAGAAATGACAATTTATTACAAATAAGTAACATGGACTTAAAACATAAACACCACAATAAATTTTAAATATATGCGTAGTTAAGGATTTCATCTGGTAATATCTATAATCAGTGTCTACATGGCCGGGGTGGGTAGGAGACATAGCCTCCAAATTATTCAACCCTAGAACTCGAGGGCAATGCAATATTAAATTTAATATATATTTTTTTATATAAGTAAAATCATCAAAATTTTTCATTCGATTATTTTTAGATTTAAAAAAATGCGTCTAAAAGATTTTCAATAATATTATTCCAAAAAAATCATCGATAGTTGGTGTCTTTTTTGATGTGTCTAAAATTATAATAATAATAGTTAAAATTATACCTAAAACGAATTATTTGTTATAAGATATTCGATTTGATTAGATTCGTATTTTACGAATACGAATAACACAATTTCGATTGAAAAATTCTAATAGGAAAATATATTATTCGATCGAATAATTCGAGATTATTCGATTAAAATAATTTATTAATAATATATTATTAGTAGGAATTATTTACAATTATTCCTATTTAATAAAATTTCCTAGGAAAAATGAAGAAACATTTTATATTTCTAAATGTTGTTAACGGCTGTTTTTATTCGAATAATTCATAATACAAAATTAACCTCCGAAAATTGTTTTATGATGGACGAAGAAAGTATTTATTTATATGTAATTTATAACTCATATACAATTTTAAATAACTAGCTATCCCGTTAAGAATGACGGGCGAACCAGATATTTTTTCTTTAAAAATTTGTTGTTGGTATATTTGTTCTACATGATATGAATATTATATTGATTTTTCTACATTATTATACTATATATGTATCTATATTATCTTACTAATAAAATTCAAAGTTAAATTTTACAAAATAAATTTAATATTATTGTCGTATTTGTAAATACGTAAATGTTTTATATTTTTTTTTAACGCGGAATGCCAATCAACCTAGATTAGATAATATAGATATATGTAAAAGTATTATATAATGATAATATTATTATTTTATTTTATTCTTTTTTTAGAAAATTTTTTCTTTTATTTCGGAAATTATTAATAAAGAAAATCATTCTTCGCGAGTTATATTTCCTGTCTGTTTGGTGATTTTTGTAGTTTCGGGAATTTGTTTGACTTGTTTTTGTTTTTTCTTAGTTTGTGTTTAAGATTTTTTTTTAGTGTGTAAGTTTAGATTCGAATAAAGTTTTAAGTATTTTTTTTTAATTATCTTTTTTAATTTACGGTTAAATAAAATTTTCAAATTGAATTGATTATTCGACGAATCGAATCGAATAATCATTTTATTATTCCTACGAATATGAATTATTCGATTCGATTTGTATTTTTGTATATCTAGTTAAAATAATGTAAAGGATAAGTGGCATAAATGGCTATATGAAGATAATAATTGAAAAATTTTTAGTCTAATGCACACACACACAGTATAGAATGAGGAAAGTGAGAGAAAAAAAATAGGTAGGGAGCTTTAAGATATCTTCTCCAAAATACTCAGTGGGGCATATTAAAAAAATATATTTAAGCTTTTTATCTTAGATAAAAATAGAAAATAGTGGATAAAAATTTGGTATATTATTTTACGTCATATTAAATCTTTATACCTGTCATCTGACAGTTTGTCAATAACCTTTCTTTTATACCTGACAAAACATAGATGCAAGATTATAGGTTTATTCTATTATTATCTGAAATCATTTATATTAATCGAGGATTATGATATGTTTTAATAGTCTTTCTTAATATATATAAATAAATATTATTTTATATATATTTAAATATTTTATTTATAATTGTTATATATATTTATATAAAGTTAAATATTATTTCTATATTAGTACAATTAAAAAAATTAATATGTTTTACTTTTATAAATAATTTTATTCTCAGTAGTAATATTGTGTAAATTATTGTATAAATATTTATAAATTTATTAAAATTTTAAAAATGTTAAAAATAAAATTTAAAAAAATGTTAAAAATGTCAAGTTTGTTTTCACCATCTTTTTACTTTTTAACGCGAAAACAGCTGGGAATATTTACCGATCCGTTTGTCTGTCTTTTGTCATTATACCATTTCGCTTCAAAATTTCGAAATATTTCCTAGAAAAAGTCTTTACTTCAATATTGAATTTGTGTTTATCTCCTTAAAGGAAAAGGTAATTGTTTTAATTAAAATTTTTTCATATTAATATTTTAAAGTATTTACTTCAATACTGTTATTGTGGCAATCTCATTTACATCAATATTGTATATCTGTTTATCTCCTTAAAGGAAAAGGTAATTGTTTTAATTAAAATTTTTACATATTAATATTTTAAAGTATTTACTTCAATACTGTTATTGTGGCAATCTCATTTACATCAATATTGTATATCTGTTTATCTTCTTAAAGGAAAAGGTAATTGTTTTAATTAAAATTTTTACATATTAATATTTTAAAGTATTTACTTCAATACTGTTATTGTGGCAATCTCATTTACATCAATATTGTATATCTGTTTATCTCCTTAAAGGAAAAGGTAATTGTTTTAATTAAAATTTTTACATATTAATATTTTAAAGTATTTACTTCAATACTGTTATTTTGGCAATCTCGTTTTCATCAATATTGTATATCTGTTTATCTCCTTAAAGGAAAAGGTAATTGTTTTAATTAAAATTTTTACATATTAATATTATAAAGTATTTACTTCAATACTGTTATTGTGGCAATCTTAAATAATGATACCAACTTCATACCAAAAGTCCAAATATTATAAATGTAAAATTTATTATATTTGTACTTCTCCAACCTGCCATGGTAGAGGATTTACATTAAATAATGTATTTACTCTGACAGCAGAATGCAATGGTAAATTATTTAATCTGCAAGATTTTAATATACAAGATGTAATTTATTATTTTCTAGATATTTGCAAGTACTTGACTGCAAGAAGAGGAAGTATTTTACAATATAATATGAAAATCAAATTAGTATATTTTTCCTTAAGTATCATTGGGAAGAAATGAAGATAATGTGACTTCTGTGAATATTCATGAACAAGAAGATGGAAGTGCTGTGGGGATTTCTGGGATCCTTGAAGAAGGTCCGGAGTTGATATCCTCGATGATCAATCCTATTCGAGAAGATGCTGATTTTGGTTAATCAAAATTTTTTAATATATTTTCTTTTTAATTTTATCATAGTTTAATCAAAATTTTGTTAGTATATTTTCTTTTTAATTTTATCATAATTAATCAAAAATATATTTTTCCTTAAGAATCGATAAGTAGAAATGAAGAGATTGTGACTTCTGTAATTAATCATGAACAAGAAGATGGAGGTGCTGTGGGGATTTCTGGGATCCTTGAAGAAGGTCCGGAGTCGATATCCTCGATGATCAATCCTATTCGAGAAGATGCTGATTTTGGTTAATCAAAATTTTTTAATATATTTTCTTTTTAATTTTATCATAGTTAATCAAAATTTTGATAGTATATTTTCTTTTTAATTTTATCATAATTAATCAAAAAAATATTTTTCCTTAAGAATCGATAAGTAGAAATGAAGAGATTGTGACTTCTGTGATTAATCATGAACAAGAAGATGGAGGTGCTGTCGGGATTTCTGGGATCCTTGAAGAAGGTCCGGAGTCGATATCCTCGATGATCAATCCTATTCGAGAAGATGCTGATTTTGGTTAATCAAAATTTTTTAATATATTTTCTTTTTAATTTTATCATAGTTAATCAAAATTTTGTTTGTATATTTTCTTTTTAATTTTATCATAATTAATCAAAAATATATTTTTACTTAAGAATCGATGGGTAGAAATGAAGAGATTGTGACTTCTGTGATTAATCATGAACAAGATGATGGAGAGGATGATCTCCATGTTTTAACATTTTTGGACGAAAGTTTTATAGATGAAGAAGTTGTAATCGATATCTCCATTGCAGCTGATAGCTCTGTAACTTTACCAATATCAGTTAATAACATTCAATTCTCATATTTAAATGTAGAACAGCCATATAATTTTATTATTTCCCCAAAAAAACGTAATTTGTTATATTCAAATAAATTTCTATATGTTCATCATAAGTTTGGAATTTTATTTAAATGTAGACTAAGTCATTGTACGGCAAGAGGTACATTATTAAATATGCAGTTTACATTGACACATATTCACAACCATCCTTCTGAATCTGAGGAAGAGCATTATGCAATTTTAGAACTATGAATAAACTTAAAGAAAAAATTCGAGCGTACCCCTATCAAAGCAAACGTAAAACATAATCAAGTTATGCGTATTAGAAAAATGGATCCTCTCGTTCAACTCTATTCTAATACTCTACCAACATTTCTATCTGTCAAAACTATTATGAATCGTGTTATTAAATCATTGAGACCACCTTTGCCTCTTATAAATTCTGATATACGATTATACGGGGATTATAAATTAACACTTGATAATAAGACTTTTTTAATTTGTAATGACTAAAATTGCATAATGCTCTTCCTCAGATTCAGAAGGATGGTTGTGAATATGTGTCAATGTAAACTGCATATTTAATAATGTACCTCTTGCCGTACAATGACTTAGTCTACATTTAAATAAAATTCCAAATTTATGATGAACATATAGAAATTTATTTGAATATAACAAATTACGTTTTTTTTGGGAAAGAATAAAATTATATGGCTGTTCTACATTTAAATATGAGAATTGAATGTTATTAACTGATATTGGTAAAGTTACAGAGCTATCAGCTGCAATGGAGATATCGATTACAACTTCTTCATCTATAAAACTTTCGTCCAAAAATGGTAAAACATGGAGATCATCCTCTCCATCTTCTTGTTCATGATTAATCACAGAAGTCACAATCTCTTCATTTCTACCCATCGATTCTTAAGGAAAAATATATTTTTGATTAATTATGATAAAATTAAAAAGAAAATATACTAACAAAATTTTGATTAACTATGATAAAATTAAAAAGAAAATATATTAAAAAATTTTGATTAACCAAAATCAGCATCTTCTCGAATAGGATTGATCATCGAGGATATTGACTCCGGACCTTCTTCAAGGATCCCAGAAATCCGCACAGCACTTCCATCTTCTTGTTCATGAATATTCACAGAAGTCACATTATCTTCATTTCTTCTCAATGATACTTAAGGAAAAATATATTAATTTGATTTTCACATTATATTCTAAAATACTTCCTCTTCTTGCAGTCAAGTACTTGCAAATATCTAGAAAATAATAAATTACATCTTGTATATTAAAATCTTGCATATTAAATAATTTACCATTGCATTCTGCTGTCAGAGTAAATACATTATTTAATGTAAATCCTCTACCATGGCAGGTTGGAGAAGTACAAATATAATAAATTTTACATTTATAATATTTGGACTTTCGGTATGAAGTTGGTATCATTATTTAAGAGAGCCACAATAACAGTATTGAAGTAAATACTTTAAAATATTAATATGTAAAAATTTTAATTAAAACAATTACCTTTGCCTTTAAGGAGATAAACAAATATACAATATTGATGTAAATTAATGACATAACCAAAATTACAGTATTGAAGTAAATACTTTAAAATATTAATATATAAAAATTTTAATTAAAACAATTACCTTTTCCTTTAAGGTGATAAACAAATATACAATATTGATGTAAATTAATGAGATAACCAAAATTACAGTATTGAAGTAAATACTTTAAAATATTAATATGTAAAAATTTTAATTAAAACAATTACCTTTTCCTTTAAGGAGATAAACAAATATACAATATTGATGTAAATTAATGAGATAACTAAAATTACAGTATTGAAGTAAATACTTTAAAATATTAATATGTAAAAATTTTAATTAAAACAATTACCTTTTCCTTTAAGGAGATAAACAAATATACAATATTGATGTAAATTAATGAGATAACCAAAAATACAGTATTGAAGTAAATACTTTAAAATATTAATATGTAAAAATTTTAATTAAAACAATTACCTTTTCCTTTAAGGAGATAAACAAATATACAATATTGATGTAAATTAATGAGATAACCAAAATTACAGTATTGAAGTATCTACTTTAAAATATTAATATGTAAAAATTTTAATTAAAACAATTACCTTTTCCTTTAAGGAGATAAACAGATATACAATATTGATGTAAATTAATGAGATAACCAAAAATACAGTATTGAAGTAAATAATTTAAAATATTAATATGTAAAAATTTAATAAATTACTTTTCCTTTAAGGAGATAAACAAATATACAATATTGATGTAAATTAATGAGATAACCAAAATTACAGTATTGAAGTAAATACTTTAAAATATTAATATGTAAAAATTTTAATTAAAACAATTACCTTTTCCTTTAAGGAGATAGACAGATATAAAATATTGATGTAAATTAATGAGATAACCAAAAATACAGTATTGAAGTAAATACTATAAAATATTAATATGTAAAAACTTTAGTTAAAACAATAATTTTAATTAAAACCAATTACCTTTTCCTTTAAGGATATAAACACAAATTCAATATTGAAGTAAAGACTTTTTCTAGGAAATATTTCGAAATTTTGAAGCGAAATGGTATAATGACAAAAGACAGACAAATCGGACCGATACCGATAATATATATACAAAATATATAGTAAAAGGTGTTACACTAATAAAAAATTTAATATATTCAAGAATATTTTTGAGAAAATCTATTAAAAATTTTATCCAACATTATCTATTTGCAGCAAAATAACCACTATTTTGCTATATATTAGCAATAGATATTCATTCATCCAGAACGAGTCAATTTCATCACCCATCAGAAGTTGTAGCGTGCACCATGTATATTCACTAGTATATAGATCCAATACATGATGTATGCCCGTTTTATTGTAGTGGACGGTACCTCTATGAGTCAGCTAGCATAGTAAGAAAGTGGGAATTTATTAGTTTTACGGGCAAGATAGTGTGTTAAGAAATTGTAACCAATATTAATAATAATGTACCTGACGCCTGGTTAGATGTTTAAGAGATGAAAAAAAAGTAAGTCTTATGTTAGGTAAGTATATCCTTGGAAGATCAGGTTTTGTCTATATAGCTATTCCGGAGGCATCCAACATCTCTGTAATTGTAATCTCAATCCTGAAACCCATTATCCAAAAGAGCTTACTATCGTTTTGCCTGATTTTTTTACTTTATTAATTTTTGTCATTCACTAAAGTCAATAGTGTCCCCATTCCTTGTTGTCTGTATTAAGCAAGCATTGCTCGGGATCCTCATTATTTACCACATTTTCATTATTATAGTGAACCCAGAATCGTTATCATTAATATTATTCACGGTTCCAAGATTATCATTGCCTGTGCCGAAACATAAATTGTCACTCAACCGGGGAGAAGAGGTTGGAAATAAGACAGTGCGAGAATAGTCTAATACTTCCACGATTCCTGCTCTAGTTTAGATCATATTTAAGCATGTATTGTAGATGTTCCTTTAATAAACATATGTTTTGTTTGTGTTGTACTAAATTACATTAATTTCGTTTAGTTTAAGGAGAACGGGAAAAGGCTAAGGGATAATTTTTTTTCTCCTCGCATTACCTCCAACCCTCTCCCCAAACTGATTATTTATAAAAATTTTATCTTAAGCAATTTCTACTTACATTTTTGAATTACCCTTCTTAATTATTTTACTTTATATATATATATATATAAATATCCTCAAAATATTATTTCAGATTCAAATACACTGCCTTATAGGCTGCCGTATATTTTAAGTTAACATTAATACAAAAGAATTAGTTCTAATTGTATCTTAACCCATTCGCTCTTGTATTGAATCTTTTGTACATGCAAAAATTAAATTAGGTGCATACGAAGATGGTCTTTGATTTCAACAAAATTGTTAATAAATAAAAAAGACATGCAAAATTATTATAAAATAATTATTGAATACTCCCCAGAATTAATTTCTAAACATTGTAGCCTTATTAATAATATTTACATTATCACTATCTGGCCAATTTGTATCGAGAGAAGAGAATTTCACCAGTTGAAATTAATTCCATCTTTATTTGTTTCCGAAAGAGTTTGATATTTTATAAATTCTAATTGAAACAGACAACAGAGAAAATTAAACTTCCTTTGTTTCAAAGTACTGAGGTATCCCAACTTTTAAACGGGTATATAAAGTAAAACATTTCAATACTCCGCCCCACTTCTCGGTTGTAATTGGCCCGCAGGCTTCCTAACAATTATGGATCCATACTCTACCTCATGAGAATAAAATCCATTAGTAGACGCATCCCTCCACCCCGTCTTATACTCATTCCTTATCCACGTCGGTTGTCCCACTTGGAATTCTTGTTGCTTTGTATTATTATCGTGGTTTTCCACGCTCTATCGTTTACTCATTTTGAACTTTTTTTATCAGATTTGATCTTAACTAATCTGAATTGCTTTTAAAATTTCTCCCCAATAACCTGGAAGGAAATCTCTTAGTAATGCTGGGAACACTCATCCATCGTATCTTTTGAGGCGTTATATTTCGGTTTTAGTGTACATTCTACATGTCCATTAGATTTAGAATAGCATTGCGTTACATGGATGAGTTGAATATTTTATTTGCTACTCCCCTGAAATCAATTGAGATTCATTATCAGACATCAGTTGTCTAAGCGCACATAATCTTACAAAACAACTTTTTAACACCCTTACAAAATTAGTTTGGAATATGAATCCCACTCCTACTAACCAATAAAACGAATCCACAGATCCTTCAAAATCGATATGCAGTTGTTTCCACAGACTTGTGGGATATCCCTAGAGTATAATAGCATTTCAGATTTCTGGTTGTGTTGTTTAATATCCTCTATACTGATTAACATGGTTCTCAACATCATGGTCAATTAGGCCACTAACAATAAAATCTTAGTATTTACTTCATGATCTCAATTCCTGGATGACCCTCATAAAGGTGCTCTTAAAGTAAGACGGAATAACTAATCTCACATCTCATTCTATTATACCATTATTTATGGATAGCTCATTTTCCTCGCAAATGATTGTAGTTCTGAATCTGTGTTATTGACAAATCCTGACCAAGCTCTATCTATATAATTTTGTTTACCTCATTTATAATTTTATCTATATTGGTCTCCTCTTTGAGCTGTTTTCATAGCATAGTACTTTGTATTTACCGCAATGTGTAGTCTGGATAGTTAATCTGCTAGCACGTTCTCACTTCCTTTTTATATATTATTCCAAGATTATAATTAGCCATTTACCAAGTCTATCTTGATAATCTATTATTCACAATTTTTGTCAGAGCTCGATTTTTCCTAAACAGTATCTCCAAGATTTGTAATCTTAAAATGATTTCTCCATTACAAATATCTATGGAACTTTTACATTCCAAATAAAATGTCCCGCGCTTCCTTATCGATCGCCAAATTGTATTTTTCTG